GTAAGGGACAAGCAGGACCCATTCTTTGGGCCCCCAGATCCCCGAACCTTACTCCATGCAAATTCTTATGGGGATATGTGACAGATGAAGTATGTCAACCTCCGATATCATTGTCCCTTCGAGAACGAATTTTACAGACAATAACCAGTTGCGATGTGCATGAGAAGAATTCGAATGTCGGCGCGTTGACATTAGCAGAGCAACAAATATAGCACGTATCAGACATCTCTAGATATGCCACTTTGAAGTTGATTCATGCTTGTATTTGTAACACTGATTTCTTATCACTCAAATCCCTTATAATAGCCCTGAGTAATGCAACTAAGGTTCAAAACTGACTGCTGCTGTCATGGCGACAGCCTTGCCTAGACTTATTTCCAATTAGATAGACAGTCAGGCATCGTCTGCTGTCCAAAAACATAAAAATTAGAATATACAAAACTATAATTTTACTTGTGGTTCTGTATGGGTGTGAAACTTGGTCTCTGACATTAAGGGAGGAACATAGACTGAGGGTGTTTGAGAACAGGGTGTTGAGGAGAATATTTGGATCTAAGAGAAATGAAGTGACGGGAGGTTGGAGAAAACTGCATAATGAGGAGCTTCGTAACTTGTACTCTTCTCCACGTATAATTAGAATGATCAAGTCAAGGAGGATGAGGTGGGCAGGCCATGTAGCAAGAACGAGGGAGACGAGGAATTCATATAGGATATTGGTGGGAAAGCCAGAAGAAAGCCACTGGGAAGACCAAGGCGTAGGTGAGTGGTCAATATTAAAAAGGATCTTAGAGAGATAGAATGGGATGATATGGATTGGATTGATCTGGGTCAGGATAGGGACCAGTGGAGGGCTCTTGTGAACACGGTAATGAATGCTAGGATTTGGCTTCTCCTCAAGAAGGGCTCAGCTCCATAAGTAAGTAAGTATACAGTCAGGCAGTGAGTCGGCGGTAGTGGGCAGTAGTAGTTGGACCCGTCCTCTCGCCAAAGAGGAGGCTCCTTTATAAAACACTTAAGTTGTTTCGGAACGAACAAAAATATTGGAATTCGTCTCGGCGTGTCCAGAAACCAATAGTGACTGTGCTGACGAAGGCCAGCAACATATCACTTCTGTGCTCAGTCAGGATAACAGTATCTGCCAGAGAGCGAAACAGAGACCTGTGACTAGCGGGCGAGAGAACTGATCACTATTTTCTGTTTAAAACGTTGGTATTCCTATGAATAAACAGGCGTTCACAGTTGGCAGAGCTGTGAAAGTTTGGTCAGTTCGATCCAAGTATTAATTTTATTCACTGTAATTTTGTAGGAGCTTCTTGATTCTGTGAAACCTCTTCACAACATTAAGGGAAGAGCGTAAGTGAGAATGCAGGATTTCAGGCTCTCAGAGTTCTGATTATGAAGAATTCCGTACTCTGGGAGGGAAACGCCGGTAGCCGTTTTTGCGGACTACACTGCGTTATATCGTAGCTGAGAATGTCTGAGAGCATGGTAAAAGATAAAGTTATCCCAGTGCTTAGCTAACAAAGAACCACGCCATCTAGTAGCAGGTTGATTTATGCATGAACTGGAAAATGTTGGGACGAAGCGGTTGTTGTCGAGTTTGAGGTACTGTCTCTAGCCACAATAGATCACTGTGGTCGCGGTACAAGGGCCAAGAAGGCCCACCCCTTATACATTCATTGAGGTACTGTCCCAACATTTGTCTGGAGGGGTTGGTCTCTGGGCCGAGATTTGAAGCCGGCACTTTCTGAATTCGAGACCGCTGTGCTACCCATTCAACTGCGACTTTGGATGATGATGATGATACAAGTAACTTTGTCCCTGTGCTTAATTAATTGATGTGCCATGAAAACATGGGACAGTGGGGGTGTAGCTCCAGCATTCTTGACTTCTGAACTAGACGGACGGTAGTGCTCAGCTTCACGTCAGCTGCTAAGGCGATGTTTCCAGCGACCAGACTAGGTAATACTATAGGAGTTCTACTGTGGGTGTATCCGGTTCAAATCTAGACCGAGTTACCTTATGCTGACAGATTTTCCGTGGTTTTCATCATTATTTCAGACGAATATGGGGAAGACGTTTTGAAATGTGTTGTGGCCCTTCTGTGCGAAGCTGAGAATTGAAAAAGAATGCTTAAGGACCATAAGATTAGTCCTGTTACATCTTCAGAGCTCTGATTCTTTTATCCGATATTACGATAGTGTGTAACTGTTTCCGTCGTCCCGTTATGTGCCTATGTTTTTTTCTTCCTTTGTCTCCAGAAATGTATCTCATTAATAAAAAAGAATTCATATCTCTCACAAAACACGCCTCATTTCCGTTATAAAGACCAACCGGTTGATGCTGTTTAGGGGACTAATCTAGGCGTTGGATTCTCACGAGGAAGGGTCGTGTTCAATCCCATTTGACGTCATGTAGGATAATAATCGTGGTGGACGAACGTACACTGGGGAATTTTGTCTTGCTCTCTTCGGTTTCCCTCTGCTAATTATCATTGGACGTTTATCAGGCAGCGGATTGTCACATCTATAGCCTTTAAGTCTGGGGCTTCGTCTCTGACCCGGCACTTGGCTGGTTCCTTTCGATTTATTCTGAGAATCTTATGAAGTTCCTATGCACTGTGTGGGCGAAATGCAGAGGTTTTTGTGTTAAAGCAGGTGATGTAACCACTGGTCTTTAGAGGGCTAAATATTCTAGGAATTTTGTTCTGAAACACGACGTGGGCGATGTTGTTCATCCGGATTTATGCTTTATTTTGTAAATTGTGGACAAGTGATCTCCGCCAGGTGTTTTCCAGTTTATCAGTCTACAAATAGCAGTAGATTTAATGTACTGTAACGGCTCCATATGCCACCTCCGGTCTGTGCATACATGCGCGGTCCTGCTGTTTGGCGATGTGGTGCAGCGACGGACGTTCTGCACTGTGCAAGTTTCCAGTGACCTGGGCGGGCGGCTGAGAGCGCTGAGAGCGTGTACTCTTTCTGCGGCTTGGTAAGATCATGTCAAAGGAAGGCCAATTCAGTCACGGCCTTTCCTTTCTTTCAAATTCTAGCGCTCTTTTTTTTTTATTTGAGTGGTGTTGTATTGCCGTCGTTCAAGAATATGGCCAATGAATGGCCACAGTCAGATAAGATTTTTTTTATTGCTAGTGGGGTGGGACTAAGTCCCTTGTACTGCGGCCACTTCTGGCCTATTGTACCACCCCCAGATGATAGGTGAGGGTGATTGTGGAGCAATTGGTGGAATGAAGATTGGCAGGGGAAACCGAAGTACTTGGAGAAAACTTACCCCAGCGCCACTTTGTCCACCACAAATCCCACTTGACCAACCCGGGATCGAACCCGGGCCGCCGCGGTGGGAAGCCAGCGACTAATCGCTTGAGCTATGGCGCGGTTCTGTATGTGTTGCGTACGGATCGATGTCTGTCATAACCTCGGAGACATGTTTCAACAAGCCGTTACCTAGCAATGGATTTACATGTCACAGTATGTTTCGCCTCAAAAATATTTATTGTTTACGTTACTCGGCAGTTTTATAGAAAAGCCAATTTTTGCGTGTATTCCAACTTCATTGTAATCTTCCTCTTCCCCGGTCGGAGGATGTAAGAACGGAATTATAAGAGGGTTTGTGGCTGATCCAGCTGTAAATGTGCGCGTGTTATTGCTCTTATCGTGGGTTTGGTGGTTTAGGCCATAGGACGTTACACGAGGTTAAGCAAGACAGTGTTCTCGTTGTTATTTTAGGAAAAAATTTCTTAAACTTAACGGGCCATTAAAACTTCATTGAAACATTAAACACTGTCACTGAGAAAGGATCTCTTCTTATGAAACTTATTGAGAAAACGAAGGTCTTGTGCTCTGATTGCAAGCATTGGGAGTAGACACATTGAACTAATTGTAGTCATTACTCACAGCGTGTAACATAAACACTCCACCGTCTACAGATAAACGCTCTTGTCAGATGGTAGATTTCTCCACGTTCTGTAGAAATAAACTTCGCTGGCAGTGCATGTGCATTTGATTGAGAACTTTGATGAAACAGTATGTGGATGACCGATGAATTATTTAATGACGCAGTTCCGACTACAGTGAAGAGATGCATACTTGGATATGGTTTCCTTGCTCAGGAAGTACGTCACTGCATATGCACGTAATTTGAAAGTTGAGAAAAATGTTATGAACGCAGATGCGCTGTATGATCTAAAAGTTTGTGACGGTGGTATATTAGTACAAATATTAAGTTTCTGGATATTATCCACCGTCTTTTCTTTATCTAAAAACCGTCCTGTTTATTTTTCAGAACATGCTTGGTTGTTTCTCCGTCTTCAGGTTAAACCTACTCAGTTGGGGCCATCGATAGAGCTAGTCCCTATCTCCGGACACCCGAAGATGGAGACAGAATCCAGTTTCCGAAACGTTGTGTTTTGAAAAATAAAGAAGACCGTATTTAGGTGAAGACAAGACCATGGATAGTGTCCAGACACACAATATTTGTGCAGATGCTCACCTGAGGCGACAGACTAAATCGCGGTAGATAAAACTTCTCGGGTTATCAGGCCTGCCATATGTCAGACCCTGATGATGGAACGTAGCTGCAGGTTTTAACCCGTTAACACGGCTTATATCCCGAGAATATATCATCAGCTTCAGCTGTCGTGAAGGCTTCAGGTCTTACATAAATCACGGTAATGGATCGCGAAAAAAAATCTGAAAAAAAAATTGATCTGCTTTATTTGTGCAAAATATCCGAAAGTCTCCTCTGAAGGCCTGAAGGCCCTGTCGGTGGCCAGTTTAGGGATGCATATCGGAAAAGGCGACCCATTTTAATTGAGGGTGTTACGGTCTTAATCTGATGACAATGTATGGTTACCTTTACACATTTCAAGGAGCTCGTCCTCTTCATAAAACGAAAGGTTTTTATTCCCTTCCTTCACTTACTTATTGGGCTTTTTTCAAAATATAAGATAAATATAAATGTTGTATCTTCAATTCTTCTTGCAGGGCTGTATGATTACGATTCAACGATGCCGTCAGCACCGCCATTGGACCAGATGGAGCAAGTCAGTGGATATGAAACCATATCTTTCAATTCAGGTATGTGAAGCTAATATACTGATTGTAATTTAATATTAATTTCGACCCTGAAGAAGGAGGTACTATGCTCTTCCGAAATGTTATTAGTCACCTGCCAGTAGGGCCAGATTAAGACACGCTGAGACCCTAAACTATTACACAATTCAGAGACCCCATACCTTGAAAAAAAAATAGGAATTGTATTACGTTACAGCAGAAAGAATAATGTACAAGCAGATGCTACACCGCTGTGTCTGCATATACGTGTATACACACAGGCCAAAATGCAACGAGAAGCAATTGACTAAAACATGTATCTCCCAAAAATCGTTATTTGCATTAACAATTACCTTATGATTTCTTAATTAACATTTATGAAGTTGAAGGTTTATTTTGTAGAAACACGAGAAATTGCACAGATGTGATCTTAATTTTAGCTTGTAATGAAAAAATTAATATCAGCATTGTAAACAAAACATATCTTTAATAATCCTGAGTATATTATTGTATGCCTTTAAATCAAAATACCTCGTCATGTTTTACGTAGCGTATATGAAACTGAATAGTTTCAACTCAGAGGAACACAACATTACAGAGAAGCCGTAACGTAACTTACACTGTCGCTTCGCTTTGCAAACATTTTTTCCATGATTTAAAAGTATCAAAGTTATGGATGATGTCAAATGATAAGCTACGAAACTTTCTAGATTCTAAAGGGTTCTGGGCCGGTCACGGTAGCCGAGCGGTCTAAGGCATGCACTGTCTTCGCTCGCTCGGAAGCCGGGATCGTGGGTTCGAATCTCACTCAGGGCATGGATGTTTGTGTGCGTTTTTCTGTGTTTGTCTACATGTAGAGGCCTTGCGACGAGCTGATCACTCGCCCAAGGAGTCCTACCGAATATGTAAAATCTAGAAAACCGAAGTGAAACGGAGAGTTTCATGGAGGTAGGCCTAGGCCCAAATTGGGGCTGTAGCGCCACAGAAAAAAAAGGGTTCTGACGATGGTGTATACAAGTAATACTTAGAATTGCCGGGTTTTCGGACTTTGTCCATCATACGATATTCTCGAAACTATAAAACACAACGTTTCGGAAAGTGGGTCTTTTTCTAAGGGACCCAACAAAGTTAAGTGTCTCTCCCCTCACCTGAGGAAACAGCAAGTTTCCGGAACGTTGTGTTTTCTAGTTTCTAGAATACCGGACGATGGACAAAGTCCGAAAATCCGGTAATTCTGAATACGAGATTATCTGTATCTGTGAGCATAATGCTTTCTTACAGCGTCGATGTTCGGAGTCCTTTCCGAATCCCTTTCAGCCGTGACAGTGAACTTTCTCTTGAGCGCTTTGTTACCATTACGTGGAGACAGAAGAATAGCAGCAGTATTACCTACGCGACATGGAAAGCTAGCCGGGTCATATCTTGGAAGGTCGTCTGATACTGATTCTGGCATTATAAATGTTCTTTATGTGAGTAATCCCACTTGACCAGACCGGGAATCGAACCCGGGCCGCCGCGGTGGGAAGCCAGCTATGGCGCGGCCCACTTCAGCTGTTAGTCTTGTTTATACTGACGCTGGCGTATTTGGTTCCAAAATTGTTTCTGTTAATCTATTTTATAATTTGTGCTTGTACTCAGAATTAATTTATATACATATTTCTTGTAATGGCATCACGGTTGGCATTGTTATGCCAAGTGAATGGCTTGTTGTCTCAATGATTTGCGTTGCACGTGTGTTTGTTTTGTTTGTCCCATTACTCCCGCTTATTTTATAACTGGCCTTTATACTTCTGAATAAGCACTTAAGTAAATGAATGAACTGAATTGAGCACGCACAGAAACGCGAATAGTGTAGAACCCCACAACTTAGATTTGCAGCAGGCGCGGAGACTCTGGATGCTGAACGCTATTTTCGGGCTGGGCTGCCGACTGCCGACTTTCTGAAGCGTGCCATATGTCAATGTTTCTCTTAACAGCATTCAGTTTCGAAACGATAGATATAGAACTACTTATGGTGTAGACAGTATAAAGCACAATTCACGTTTATATTTAGGGCACCAGTGAGAACTGCACGAAGATGCCCCTAAGTGGTCTTTGGCCCTAAGGAATTGCCTTTTTGAGAATTTTTGTGTGCAACAGAATAGTATGTCTCGTTTTGTCATACACTAAATAAACAAAGGGCGTATAGGAATTTGTGGAACAATTATGAATTACCTAGAATTGTTAAGGCCGATCAAAGTTGCCGCGCGGTCTAAGGTATGGATGGCTCTGTGCGTTTATCTGCGTCTGTGTCTTCCTGTGTAGGTAGGCGCCTTGCGTGTGTGTATACGGTTAAAAAAGTGGAAGAAGCGGCCGGTGCCTAAATTTGGATCTATCTAGCACCATTAGTGGTGGTGGTGGTGGTGGTGCGGCATGCATTTACTGTGTGTGCCTTGCATATACATTTAAATATAGGATGCTTTCTCTTGATCAGTGTCTCCCCACAAATTCCTTCTTGAAATCTCACCCATCTTGCCCGTTGTGTTTGTCGAAAACTTGCCTCTCTGACCCAAAACACGGCTACCATTCAGAAAGTTAGTTTACAACCTTTGTTCTCAAAATAACAAAAAATACGCAAGTGCCAAAAGTCATGGGATAGGCACGTAGTATCGTGTAGGACCCCCCTCTAGCCCGGCGAAGTGCAGCAACTCGACGTGGCATCGATTCCACAAGTGGACGGAAGACCTCTGGAGAGATGTTGAGCCATGCCGTCTGGATAGCCGCCCACAGCTCCCTGGTATTTTTAGGTGCAGGATTTTGGGTGCGAATGGCCCTCTGCACCGAGTCCCATAAATGCTCGATTTGCGTCATGTCGGGCGAACGTGGTGGCCACACCATTCGTCGGAACTCTCCAAAATGCTCCTCGAACCATTTCTTGACAACTCCGGCCCGATGACACGGTGCATTGTCCTGCTGGGATATCCCAGCATGTGGGAGTGCATGAAGCCCATGAAGGGCTGCAAATGGTCACCAAACAGTGTAACGTAGCGGTCAGTGACGTGTATAGGTGGACGGGCAGGGCATGCAGCACTGATTGGGGAGAAGAGGAATGAATATAGGATATTGGTGGGAAAGCTGGAAGGAAAGAGACCACTAGGAAGACCAAGACGCAGGTGGGTGAACAATATTAAAATGGATCTTAGAGAAATAGGATGGGATGGATTGGATCGATCTGGCTCAGGATAAGAACCAGTGGAGGGCTCTTGTGAACACGGTAAGGAACCTTCGGCTTCCATAAGTACTACGAAGCTCTTGAGTACCTGCACAATTGGCGGTTTCTCAAGACTGGCTCAGCTCCATGAAGTTAGTTAGTTGGTTGGACACTGTGCTGTTGGTATATACAGTGAGTTTTGTAGTGCAGGAGTGAAGCATTATGGGTCGACTCTTCTGTCCGAGGCTTCTCACGCAAAAAAAAAAACTCGCTCTGCAAAGATTCTTCCAGAGAGTGCAGTTTCCACACGTGTAATTACCAGTATCTCTCATTAAGTCTACAGCGCAAAGAGTTAATTCCTCTTCGTTCTGTAAAGTAAAGTAAAGTAATTTCTTTTATACTTCAGGAATGAATGCGGACAGATTTGTAACTGTGGAACACAACATCTCTGTATGGCCCTATGTATATTGGTAAGGGGCCAATTGACAAGGTTACTGGCCTTGTACCACTGTGTTTTGAAGATGTAAACACAACATATTTGTATGGTATCTCTGGTAGTCAGTAATGGTAGATGATTCTCATCTGGCATCGATTGCATTTTGTTTTTATTGGCTCAGACAATAAAGCCCTTCTCACTCACTCATTCACTCGCATAAGAACACAAGGGTTCCTTTTTGTTAATATGAAGTCTGAAAACTGCATCACAAACACTGACTCCGTCATAATCACAGATTTTCACAATGTATGGTTTTCTGAGTAACTGTAACATGCACATATCTGTAATTTAGAGTTAAATTCTTTTACTGCAAGTCTAAAATGCACATAGGGTGACACTGACTAATGGTGATCTAGGTGAGTGGTTCTGTATACAATTGTGATCACATCTGTAGTTCAGAAAATATGTATGTTATTTGTTATGTAAGAAAGAATATGTCTGAGACATTGTGTGCAGAATTCAAATTCTGCAGTTAAATAGTGGAATTCTTTATGACTATTTACTTTGCATACCAGTTACGTAATCCCAAGCCAGCAGGATAAACTTTGTGCAGCCATCAGTCTGATGCAACATATTTTTTTCTCTCAGTCAAATGGGTACTTTTTACTTTAGATCATCACTCATTACATTATTGTGTTTAATTAACTTTTTTTTCCCCAATATATTTTAGCTTCATTTTTATAAAATAATAAATCACTGTACATTATTTATTTTCTCCGTTGTATAAAGTTGGGTAACTCTAGCATGTTTCATATGCAGATTACAAAAATGTTACTGAAAATGTTCCATCATTGACATTTCCTTTCAAAAACTACATTTTTTATTTCTTTGAGAAATACAAGAATTTGTCAGATCTCACTAAGATTATGCTTGGAGAGTGACAAGAGCATGCATCTGTTGGTTGATATAACTCGGCTATTGGTCAGAACATTGTTGTGCAGTGATTGGTCAAAACCCTGCCACGTCATTTCTGGCTGTACTTTCTTACATATCAAGGTTTGATCCTTTCCATGTAAAATCATGAGTGCTACAAAGTTTCTGAGCTCAGATTTAAGTTCAGCAATTACAATTCTATTAGAATCACATGTTTTACTTTGAAGGAAAAAAAGAAATTATGTGTTGTGTTGTACAGTATAATTGGACCCAAGTGACTTTCTATACCTTTATGTTTTCAGCGCCTCAGTGTTCATAGAAAGTACGGTTTCAGTACAAATATAAACATTTCCTAGAAATACTGAATGTCTGAAAAGCCTTTGAAATTGAAACTCTAATTCAGTTTCTCACTAAAATTCAGATTGTATGAGAGGAAGGGGAATTCTTCAGCGTACAGTTTGTATTGAGCATGACAGCATAGAGAACTAATGTAATAGTCCAGTGAGAATTTGACTCAAATACACCTATTGGTTGTACATTTGTATCGGTCAGCTATGTTCTGATTTGAGAAAAATAGCATTGAAAATTATCCTGTAAACTGTGTTGTGTCTTTCAGTCAGTGTACCACCACCACCATCACCATCGGTCAGAGAGATGTGGTGGGAGGACAGCTTGAATCACTCAGTCCAACCACCACACCCAAATGTGTCTGAGAAGATAGCTCGTCAGGCTCTATTGCAACATGTGAAAAAGCATTGGTGTTACGGAGAAAGTGCTGCAAGAAACATGGCCATAACCAAACTCAAACACTCATCTGCATTTCATGTGAGTGGTTCAGTTCATTTCACCTTCGTAGTTTTGCAAAAGACCATTTCTTGCATAAGGACATTTAACTACATAAATGTGTTATAGATTTCTGAACTACAGTGAAACCTTACGAATTCAGAATTCGCGATAATTTGGACTCTTTTTTTTTTTTCTTTCTTCTAATTACAGCCCTGCTGAATCACTTTGCCATGATCGGTGAGTGCAAACTGCTGCGTGTAGCGCTAGCATAGATGACAGCAGATACACATAGGCCTCAGGTCTTACTGTACTCTGTCTGTGGTACTGTGTTGTGCACTTGGTCCCTGTACTGAAGACCAGTATAGATTTGTCCTCTACAGTGCACACTGCAGTGGTTAAGCCTATTCTTTTGGACTTTTGTCCGTTTTCCCGGTTTAAAAGATTATTAATGCCCTCCAGTGTGATTGATACATTTGTTTTTAAATCTTTCATCCTTTAAATGTTTTTGTCATAGCGACCATCTTCAGAAGGACATTACCAGTACATACGGAAACTGCGTTACAATGTCATAGATATAAAATATTATTCTATAACAATTACTACAATGTGCATGAATTTGTTAAAAACATTTATAAATTACAGGTATTATAATTAGTCTCTTTACAAAGTATTGTTTAATAAACTTAAAACCTAGAACCAATTTGGTTTGTGTCCATTTTACTTGTTCTCTTTAAAGGAAGATGCACAATGTAGTAATTACAGAATAATATTATATATCTATGACATTGGAACTGTAGCTTCCGTATGTATTGATAATGTCCTTCTGAAGATGCTCTCTATGACCGAAACATGTAAAGGATGAAAAATTAAAAAAAAAAACAATATTTATGAATCACACTGGATGGCACTATTGCTAATGTGACGGACCAGGATGAACGAAGTCAAATATTCCCGGTTTCTTCAGACCACTGTATTTTTAAGTGGGTTCTGTACCATCATGAGGCCTATACAAGTAGAAACCTACTCTGTTAGTTCCCTAGGTATTGCTGTTCTCAAACCAGACAGAGTAATTCTGCCTAGTGTCAAATAAAACCCAGTTTTAAAACTGGGACCCATGAATGACGTCCGAAAGAGTAGTTTTAAACACGTTGCACCATTGTCAAAAAACTTTAGGAAACATTGCTTTGCCTGAATGCCATTTGTGTAAAGTTTCTTAGAACTCATGTGTGATTTATGTCATGTATGACTTATTTGAGATGCATGTGTTTGTAAGACTGGCCATTTTGTCCTCTACCAAAGTAAGATAATCTAAATTTAGAGCTTTAGTACAGTTACTTGAAATTCTGAAATGTGAACAGTGTTTGACCTTTAATGAGGATACAGGTCCAGTTGTCCTTCAGTGCCATGGCCATGTGTCTAAGGACGTAACTGTTAAGAATTAAATGTGAATGACTTATGTAACAGTATTTTTTCTCTTATTGCTAACCTAAGTGGGCCATAACTGAACCTGACTGCATCCACAGGTAAGTGGAAATGTCAAGATACTCTCTGTAATGTAAAACTGTAACTTTTATACAAGTAACACCCCATTTTCAGTACGAGCTGCAGACTTTCACAGAGAAGCGTGAGACATCCTGGAAATTCGTTCCATACTCTGGAGGTGAAGTAGATGGTGCAGAGAATGGACCAGCTCCTTTACCATGGGATATTAATTCTCAGCCTTCTGATATGTTCAAGAATGAGGAGAAGTTCATCAGGGTACCTCACACTTCTTCAGTCAAACAGTGCCATCGTTGCAAAGGGGCTGGCCATATTGTATGCGCTGAATGCTATGGAAAGGGTTGGGTATGTTTGATGATTAATTTTGAGTTGAAAATATTATTGTCACCTATCAGGGGTTGGTGTGACTAATAATAATGGGTTCTGGATTTGATTATTAGGTTTATTGGTAATTCTTTACAATTAGAATCAAGTAAAACAGCTCACACATTGTACTCCTTCTGAATGATGTCTGTCTGATGAATCTCTATGAAGAAATGTCTCAGTGCTGCTGCCTGGATCTTGGACTGGTCTCTGCTCCTCAAGTTCACAAATCCACTGCTGGATAGAAGTCACCATGCCTTACAGTTCCTTTATTATTCCCTGTTTCATCCGTCGGCATGAAACGTGTTTCAATCTCAGGGCAATGCTTTGATTCCTCCAAATGTGTTCATTGCCATGGATCGTGTTTTAAGAATCCATTGTCTAACAATGGATTATTCTTCAAATTATATTTGTGGTTTATTTAATGATACTGTCAGTAGCTCAGACTGTGTATAACATGGAATGGGCAGATTTTAAATGAAAAATGAACTGGAAAGGATATGGAACGAAATGGTCGCAATATAATTTTATGGTGCGATCCCAGAATTTGCCTGGAAGGCCTGAGGGAAACCGTAAAAACCCTTAGTCAGCATAGCTGGACTGTGGGCTGGGCATGATTTCAGTGTCTTCCAAATACAAAGCAGGTCAACATCTGTCCACAACATCTTCAAAACCTAGAAGCAACTGCTTCAGCAACACACACAGAGACGGTATGCGTCAGAGAAGATATATATATATATATATGACATGTAAACACAGTAATTCACAACACAAGCACTCATTAACATTCTATGGTGTCTCATACTACGTTTTAATTAACCACAATTTTAGATACAGAAACACATTTGAATTTTAACTCAGCCATGTTAACTGGTGAACACTACAAAACTGTGTAGTTCTGTTGCAAAACTGTATAATCATTAACACCAGATTCCAGTTCTAAGGACTGGCCAGTGTGTGCTAATTATTGTAGCCATAGTTCGGTGGTGGCCAGTTAGGCTGAAACATTTAGCAAAACAGATTAAGTGTACGTAGTTGTTCAATTGTATATTACATTGTGTTGACGGAACCTGCACACCTACTTACATACACAGAATGACACTACAGTACAGTATTTCATTCCAAGAAAGTTCTGGTATTTATCGTCTTGAAAGCTGGAAAACAACCACTACCATTTATAAGGACAAATTTTTGGAGCTCACCTAATATTTTGTGCAAAACCTTGAAAAATGCCACTTGACTATGCTGTTTTTCTGCGATAACTACTTAAAAATTATGTTTTTCCAGTGTAGCTGCCCCACTAGAAAAACAGAACAAGAATAGGAATAAAGCATTCCCAACCACGCTCAAAATAATAAAGAATAAAATAGTTGCACTGTTGACGGAACTGTATTATTAATATTGTATGTAAAAGTTATAGTAATGCAACAGGATGAATGAATACAATTTTCGTTAACACTACAATCAAAATAACAGCTACCAACATTCATTGAAGAAGTGAAATAGCCAGTAGGTTTGGGTGATGAGACGTGATAGTTTATCTCACCTTTTCAACTTTATGATCACACCATGTAACATAATTTAAAATAATATAATGTACTGTAAGAGAGAGTCAGCTATAAATTTATATGTTGTGACCTCATCCTTAAGCTGTTTATGTATTTTTCGTTATACATGCCTAGTGCTCTTTTTCAGTGAGTATGCACAGGTATGCGTACTGATCAGTAGTGGCTATATACCATCGTACTCATCAAAATTGCACATTGCTGGTGCATTACATGTTTCAGCCTCTTTTTTTTTCCATTAGAATACCAGCAAACATATTTAAAAAAATGCTCTGTGTGTAGTTACATGGAACTTGAAATATGTGAACAGCATGAAGATGTCTTGTAACTGAATGTTTCTTATATTGTTAATAGTTGTTTGAAGAAAATAAAAAAACATAACATTATTTATACAGCTGATAAGTTGCTGTATAACGTAAGTATGGAACATATGGATACAGGTTTTTTGTAATGAACATTACTGAAGGACAGAATTACTTTGCCAGATCCGTTGTCAGATGTGCAATGGATATGGATACAGGACCCAATCAGAACAGAGGGAGAGGTGCATCAATTGCTCCCTGTCTCGCCATGGCCGTGGTCGTCAAGACTGCAATGAGTGTAATGCAAAGGGAAAGTTAAGCTGTTCTGTGTGTGAGGGTCATGGCCAAATTCTGTGCTACATTCGTCTTACTGTTACCTGGTTAGTAGAATCATGTAACTTCCTCTCAAACTCTCTCATTTCTAATTAGACTTATAATTATAGGACAGCACTGTGTGCTGTGTATTCTAGCTTTCTGCAGTATGTAGTAAAAGCTTACATGTCACATTGGACGGAGAGGTTTGTATTTATAATTTCCTCAACTGTTTATACTTTGTATCATCAAATGAGAAGAAGGCTGCGAATGATGAACTCTGAAATACGTGAAGGCCTGCAAGGGAGTAATGATGACTGTGGAGGTCCCCAGGCAGAGAACAACCAGAGAATTGGATCAGAATACATGGCAAAAGTAGTAATGACTCAACCGTGATGTTAGGTATGCTGGATTAGTGGATTAATTTAGAGCTGTTGGAAGATATGAGTACAGATAATAAACTGCTGATATTTTAAAACCATTTTAGCAAAACCACGGGAGGTGACAGGTTTCTGTATATGCTTATGTGAAAGCTGGTGTGATACATTAAAAGATCTCAAACATAATATACCCATTCATCTGAGACAGATGAAATTGAAGTTCTAGAGTGAATGTAAATGTATCATCATACTGTTTTCCAGACTGAATTACCTGAAATTGTTTCCTTTCAGGAAAGTGAATACTTCTGAACATATTGTAGAGGATATGGCATTGCCAGAAAAATTGGTTCGCTTTGTGTCTGGACAAGTTGCATATGAAGAGGAAGGTCCACAAGTGATTCCATTGCAGGGATTCCCTGATGAGGCCATTAATATGGCTTCTGCTCAGCTTGTGCAAGATCATCTGAGGAAGTACCAGGACCAGAGGATACTAGCCCAGGTAAGCTTCTTGTTTCAGCCATTCCTCTTCAGTTTTAATGTGAGAAGTTTTTTTTTTTTTTTTTCAAATTTATTTTACTAATACATCTTGTTTTACTTGGGAATTGTATTGCCTGTTGGCTATACTTCATTTAATGATGTTCCTCTGTTCCTAATTAACATGATGATATTATCAATCGCAGGATACATCATAACTCACTCTGTAGAGACAAGAGCAAATACTAAGTGACCAGTTATATGATGGTTTACAAGGCAATGAGTCATGTGATGCTATGTTGCATGCGCGAGCTTTTCCCCATTCTTGCATTAGTTGCCTAAAATAAACGGAGGTTACTTTCCGAGTAGCCCTCATATTTTGGGCAGTACAAATATTCTTTGTGATTTTAATATTAAAGTAGTACAGATTTTGTTCGTTAATTATGTAACGACGTCTTATATAAATATAATGGATGAATTGCTTTATTTTTTAGCGTCAGCAGGTTCGTGTGGTTCCTATCACGTCAGTCCGCTATGAGTGGAAAGGCTATGATGGGGAATTCTGGCTTTGTGGCTATGAGAACAAGGTTCATGCACCAGACTATCCACAGACCTGTTGCTGCTACTGCTCCTGCACTCTGAGCTAGATGGGTGCCAACTTCAGCTTGGCATGAGATTCATGATCATACACCTTGTAAGTGTCTTTAAATGACCAAATAGATTTGAAATGATCACAGAGTTCGTAAGATTAATATGTCATAACTAGGGACTGGATTTTCATGCAAATGCATATTTCTTCCTTTCAACCAAGAAGTATGTTCATTTGAATATATGTATGCATTACATCAATTTTTAAATTTTAGACATGGTTTGATGGTGCATATAAATGCATATTTTGCCAGCTTTATGAATAAGCCTAATATTTTTGAAGATTTCTATTTATGCTGCATATTTTATATTTAAAGTGTTTTTCATCATATTTCTTTTAATTTATGTTCAAATATTCAATCCTCATCCTGTGTATACAATGTTTCTTTTCTGTTTAAGACATGCTGCATATTTCACTTGCAAGATTTCATCATACAAATAGCAAGTTGAGTCTGGATTCATGTTTCTGATGCAACACCCAGGATGAGACTCCCCAAGACAGGACTTCCCCAATCCCTCTACTCATAACTTGCCTCATCTGCCCACCATCAGACTGGCTGCGAAGGGATTAGTCGGAAGCGTATTCACACGTAGCAATGTAATACTATTTAACCAAGAATGGACTTCATTTATTTATTACCAAAGTCTCCATCAGGTTTGCTATGCGCCATTTAAAGCTCATACTCGTACAGTTGTAGAGACAGCTGCTTTATGGAGGAAGCAAGGTCTGTGTGGGTATTGCATTAATTTCGCCTGAGGGATTGGTGCATCCTTTAGGCACCCATTGTCCATGTTACAGGATGATAGTGATGACAATGGCCAATAAAGGGGACCTGCAACTTAATGTGGTATCTGAATATCTTGATATTCTCAACATAAGTGAGGAAGCCTACCACAGTGCTTCTCCAGGCTAGCCGACAGAGCGAAGCAAGCAGCCAATCGGCGCAGACCACAGCAGTGCCAACGCCCATTCAGTCGGGCACCACTACAACAGCAGTTAAAAAGGTGGACCTCCGACACACTGTCATCAAGTCAGTGGGAGCTACCCCTACCACGAGACAGCTCATCTGGAGTGCACACAGCAACAGTGAGTCTTCTAGCAGCAACACTGTCAGCTGACTCAGAGAGAAAAAGACTATGATAAGTTAATTTCTATTCAGCATCATTCAGGCTAAACTGCTACTGATGTGTGTGATCTTTGACTTGCTTGGTTCTGTTATCAGGGGTCCAATGTATGTAGTTCATGGTGTTGGAGTGAAGTTAGAGTGAATGGTTTGTGGCTTTGTTTTAATATTGTCATGAATGTAACTGATTTGGACACTGGAACAAGAAGGGAAAAAAATTATCTGCTATTGTACTATGTAAAGGATTAGGTTTATGTAATGAGCCCCATGGAGTACATGTGTCTATTTTACCTTAAAGCAGAGACATCACATCCTGTGAATCCAGACAATGGGACAATGAGAAGAAATGTTTAAATGAACGCACCATAGTACAGGTGATGTATGCAAAAGATACATTTAATTTCACAGTCAAAACTTACATGTAAATCTGTTTGTACAGTGTTCTCTATTTCTCCTACTCGAGCATGGTCTCCAGGCAGTCATTACTAGTTCTGTAATGCCAAATCAGCTTTCGTCCATAATTGTCTTAGTCAGAGTGTGGTTCTCTGGGCTGTAATGCCATGCAGTCATGAAGGTGGGTAACCAAGGGGCTTTTCACAGGAACATGCTGTCTCTGTCATCAGAGTCATGGCGATTGTATGATGATGGTTGGATCCTAAGGATGGACGCAGTCTGTTTCTTCAAAGTGTAGGTGTCCTCATGCAAAACTGCACAAATTTTCAGTGTAGAAGACCACAATTTGAACACTTCTGTGAAAACTTCAAAACTTATGACTACTGTAAAACAGGATGACATATGTAATTTTCCTTAAGCTATGTTAGGTGTGTTCCTATCTCTGTTTATATGACATCTTTGTTTTTTTGTTTGCTCTTTCCTTACTGAGCTTTTTGACTGATTTAGAATATGGAAGAATATGTACATATATGTTGGTACATAACCTAATATAACCCAACCTAACAAGTCAAAGGATGAGTATTTATGTCTGTAGCATGGATTGGATTAAGGAAATTGTTACCATGGTTGTTAAAGGCCATGGTCCCATATAATCTAGATTTAAGAGGAAATGAGCTTCATTCAGATGACATTAGGACAGTGACATAAGAGGGAAAGAATGTAATTTTTTTATTTGTTTTACAGTACCAATTATTGACTCTTTCTGTGCAATGATGAAAGTGCTACTATTTGTTATGTTTTTAAAAGAGAACAAGTGTACTTTTATCTAGTATGAACCCTCATCATATGCTGTCACCATTTCCTAATTTTTAACATGTGCCAGAAATAGTGATTAGTCACTGTTTATTATCTTATTATTTGTAATCACAATCCAGACTGCTAGCTTTCACTTTTAGGTTAAGTTTCCATGGAGTCAAGATGCTCAAGGGACTGTCCAGATTCCAGTCCATTGAGTGCTGGAGACTCTCTTCCCAAGGTATGAAAGGGTAAGAAGACTGCATGGAGTCGTACCTCCACTCCCCCATATGTCTTAATTGCTTGGTGCAGGAATAACTTTACCTTTATTTTTACCATATCAAACACCTCTGTCATATCACTGTTATATATGTAATACTCATTTTGAATTTTTGCCTTAAACAACAGTAGTTGGAAGGAGTGAACTGTATCTCTTAGATTTTTTATAAATCTTGTACAACCAAAGTTTTGTTAACTGTCAGCTTCATGCTGTTATAGTTAAATATAAATCAGTTATACTTTTTGTATCCATTGTGGAAATGAGTAATACACCGATCTTTTTCAGGTTGTATTTCTCTTCATGGGCAGCTTCTGTGTATATACAAAGACCCTCATCACAATGGAGCACCCAATATCTGTGATTCTAGTATCCAGAACTCCCATTATCCATAACAGATCATGCAAGAATGTAAGAAGTCAGAATTACTGGTTTTTTGGACTTTTTCATTGTCCCATATTCTAAAAACTAGAGAACACAACATTTTGGAAACTGGATCTCTTTCCATCCTCAGGTGAGGGGAGACAACCTACTCTGCTGGGTCCCTTAGAAAGAGCTAACATCAATTACTGGACAGCCAGGCTCAGCATAACTACAGATAGCTGGTTAGGTCTTTCTAAGGGACCCAATAGAGAAGCTGACTCCCCCTCACCCAGTTTCAAAAATGTTATGTTTACTAGCTTTTAGAACGCCGAATGTTGGGCAAAGTCCAAAAACCCAGTAATTCTGAGTGTTGTATACCATTGTCAGAACCCTTTAGAACCAATTTCTAAAGTGTATTGCAAAAATTTGAAATGCATACGTGATGGAACAGATTTGGTGCCTCTACAGCATGTCTTTTTGTATGCGACAGTGCACCAGAAATTACTGTATACTGGGCACCGGGGATACAGTTCGTCACTTTGGTTCCAGTGAAAGTGACTAATGGCAATGTTTATGTACATTTGCCATGTGTAGGTAGTTTTTGTTTGTTCACTGTGACATTATGTATGTCTTTTTAATATATATTTTTTTTTATTTTTATCAGCACTTTGTAGACCTAACATTGAGAGCGTCATTCTATAATGTATTAACCAGTCTTTATAATGTACTCTTGTAGTTCAAAATCTTATTCCATTTGAAATGACCCATTTCTGAACCTTGCTGCATCTGCTCCACTGTAATGCAGATCATGGAAATTAAATATTTTATTAAGATAACCTATATCTTTCAACCCTTTGTTCATCATTAGAAGTTCTCCATAATAAATGTAGGCTGTCAACATTTACATATTTATACATTATATTCTTATTAAAGGATTAAATTTTAATCATAAGATTATAAATGTCTTATGACTTGGTAAATATACTGTCAATACATTTATACTGAGACTCTGATTCCTCCATATCATGATTTTTCTATAATTTCTTATTCTTTTAGAAAATTGTACAAAAATATTTACTCATGTAATGTGTCCAATAACCACATTAGTCAATTATTCAAATTTTTGATAAAAATATTTATTTAAAAACTATTATATTTTTTATAACTATATTAAATAAAAGTTTATATATATATATCTTATTTATGTTTATATTTCAGATAAAAGTAAGTATCAGTAATAGCTTGAATGCCAGTTTGACAATATTTGGCAGCTGTGGTGTGTGGTAGGTAGGAGATAAGAGAGAGCCTATTAGAGCAAGTATGATGTAGTGTCATTGAGTTGATCTGCCGTGTAAGTAAAATATTTGTCATGTATTCCTTCTATCTCTATTTTCTCCAGTGGCAGCAGTGAAGGGATTTCAAAGTTTTTATGTTTGTTATTTACAAAATTAAATTGGTAAATGTTGTATCATGTCTTCTTGTTTCTGAAATCAGATTTTCAGCATGAAGGAACACTTTCAGTTTTGACAGAGGTTTTGCAGTGTTTCTGTATGTTCTTCACCTGAAAAGTTCTTTTTATATCACAGTCTTATGGGATGTGATGCTGTATAGTTTGATAGGTAGGTACCAGTGTTTCATACAAATTTATCTTCCGAAGTACATGGCATCACATTCTAGAAGAATGTGTTCAGTATATTCTCCACCATGAGAACCTCATATGTTATTCAAGTTCTCCTTTTTCATGGTTGTAATATTATTTCCTTGGAGAGCAGTGAAATACAAGTACATGTGTACTGCAGTAAATTCTTTCAGTTTCACTGACAATGACAGCATGAAGAAACAGAAGTCTGAAGAAATTACAAAATTTTACAAGGCTGACTGTGACATAAATGTAATTCACATGCCATGACATCACATTTTCAGTAAAAAGTCTGTATGCTGTTACATCATTTTATTTTATTGTGTATTTTATTACATGTGTATATTGTTACATTTATTATGCTTCTAGTGCAGTTAATGTACAAATTGTGATGCATTTAAGAAGATCTGTAGTGTCATATGTGTTTGTATGAATGAATGAATGAATGAATGACTTTAGTTCTGTATTTGGAATATTCGTGTTATGCCTGAAGTGTGTAGTGACTGCAATTGGTTGATGGATTATAAAATGAGGAACAGGATATTAAAAGTGTGTTGATGTTACAATAAAATATGAAGAGTATGAAAGCTGAAAGCTGAAATAATGTTTGGCTGCTAAGTTTGAATGTAAAATGTAGATAGATTTCTCAATCTGAAAATTATAAAGTTCATTGTCACGTGTATTAGTGACTAAAGATGGGGTTCGGATTGGTAATTGGATTTTTTAACCACCCACAGGACGTAACTACAAATAATTATTACACTATTGCTGATTTACACAATTTACAATTACTCCACACTAATCTTCTCTGTCTCTTTCCTCTAGTCTTCACTATCCGTTTCCTGGCAACAGGTTTATAACACAGGTACTGTAAAAGTCTCACTAAATTACACAATCCCAATATCGATGTACTACAGCACACATAAAGTCACACACTGAGTCTTCTAATTCTTCTTCTGGCCACACTGCTGTTCCCTCAGAACTTCAGAACTCAAGTCCAGGCAATTCCCATTCCTGTGTTCTATCCTATCCTCTTGACATGGACCATTCACAGAAAACAGCCCTTCTATTGTTACATGGCGCAGACCACACAGAAAACACATCATGTGTCAGACTGTGAGTTGATTGGTCCATTACCAGCACTGGGCATGACACAGATGACATAGAAAACACACAGCCTCATCTATTGTTGTGTGTTGGACCATGTTTACAGAGTTGTTGCCTGACTACACGTTGATCAAGTCTGTTACAATATAAAGATTCATCAATTACCATTCTAGGTTGATATTTTTTTTAGAACACAAAAGTGTCATCATGTATATCCTTTCTCTGCATTGCCACATCCCATCGCTGCAATTTTGGATTTGTTTCATCATTACTAATTTCAAAATATTTACATAAAATCCACTTTTATAATGAGGAATTCTCAGAATTACAAATTTCCTTTTGCAAATTTATCTTTAAGCTTCATAGGTTATGTATCACATTGCTGTGATGGTGTGTCTGCAAGGTCCAGATGGCAGAGTGTTGCATTTTCTTAATACTGTACTAATACCCTTAGCCCGAAGTTAAAATATGGCCACTAGCCTTGTAGAACCACAAAATTTACAATCCCCTAATTCCAGATGATAACTGTTAAACAAACATATTGTAAATTTTAAAGGATCTGACAATGGTATATGCTGTATAGAACTATACAGTGGTCCAGTGATTGAGACTAGCTCTTTCTAACAGGCCCAACTGAGTAGGTCTATCTTGCCCCATCCACCTGAGGACGGAGACAGATCCAGTCTCTGAAATGTTGTGGTTTTTTGTCTTATATACCAGACGATGGATAGAGTCCAAAATAAACCTTATAGTTCTATAAAACATATTGTAGCTTATAGACCTGTTGCTAAGTAATAACTGTAGACAACACCCATTGCTAGGCAACAGATTTCTAACATACACCAGTGCACTGGCTGGAAAGCAGTGTTTTCTGTGCAGTCCATGCCAATGGCTGTGCACACAACAATGATACAGTTACATAGGAATGGTGTGTTCTGTTCTGTGCAGTCCATGTCTAGATGTTATAAGTGGGACAATGAGTGAGTGCAGTGCACTTTAGTGAAGTGAAGCGAGGTAGTTGGGTGGTGAGTTAGTGAGTTATTTTGGCCGTGCCATAGCACTGTCTTCTCACCGTGGTGGCCCTGATTCGATCCCGAGTCTGGTCAAGTGGGATTTGTGGTGGACAAAGTGGCCCTGGGGCAGGTTTTTTCTGAGTACTTCGGTTTCCCCTGCCAATCTTCATTCCACAAATTGCTCCACGATCACCCTCACCTATCATCTGGGGCTGGTACAATAGGCCAGAAGTGGCCGCAGTACAAGGGACTTAGTCCCACCCCACTAGCATTTAAAAAAGATTAGTGAGTTATTTAGAGAACTGTTTCGTTTCAGTCCTTGTGAGCCATTGCTATTGGAAGCTGGCAGCTGAGGCGCGGGAATTGTTCAGGAACCTAGAGTAAGGGGAACGTCTGCCATTGGAAGTCACTACCAGGCAACAGCTGCTGAAGACACAGCAGATTGAGGATATGTAGCGTGTGCTATAGTGAATTGTAAAGAGTGAATTAGCAATAACACTAGAGTCATTTGTAGTTGTGATCTGTAAGTGGTCAGTAAATCCAATCACCAATCCAAACCCCACCTGTAGTCACTCGTACATATTGCAGTATTGTTTATGATTTGTAAGAAATGGTTCAGATTGCCTGTGGTAGGATTATATTAACAAGTACCAGCAATACTATTTCTGTTTCACAGAAGAAAGAAATAGTCAGTGTGAGTTTAAAGTCTTTGATGGTAGTGTGACACGTGGATTAAAACTATCCTCTTGTGCTTTGTGAAGTACATTTCAGAAATTGTCTTTATTTCATCAGGTTTTCAAACAACGTATATGTACAAACCATATATCGTGGTTTTAGCTGTGATTGTTTCTAGAGGGCATCTCCCACACAACACAGTGAGTGTTTCTACTATTTAGTGGAAGTAATATATCTATCTTTGTTCCTATTGCTCCTACTTGGAGCATAGGTCATCCATGGAACGCTTCGTTTCACTTCAGTTTCTTGATCTTAGACAGTCAGTAAGACTCCTTGGATGAGGGATCAGCCTGTCACAAGGCTGCTACCTACACAGAACAACACAAACACAGAATAATTGCCATGAATGGCTTTTGAGCTCACAATCCCAGTGTTAGAGCAGGTGAAGACATTTCATGCCTTAGACCATGTGTTCACTGTGATCGGCATGGAAGTAATAGGTAATCTTTAAAGTTGTTGTACACATAGATTTTGGTGTGCTGTTTTGTCACCCTTATATACATGCCGTCTCTATGACATGTTTTGACCTTATATGGTCATCATGAGATAGATACTTCTACATAATTTCTTTGCTGTACTGCTTTTTCTAGTTCATTGTTCTAAAAACAGCAGTTGTGTTGTATTTGAAGTCTATATTCTCTATGCCATGGTACTCTGTGACCACAGAATATGGTATACATAATGACATGAGTTGTCTGGATTCCAGTGCAACAGTTTCTGAAATATAGCATTAGTAGACAATCTTTTTAGTTATGTGTAGGTTCCTGATACCAGAAGGAATAAATTTAACCTCTTCTGTTGAACAGTGTATTCTGATATAGATTTTTAAGTTCAGAATGTTAGTCAGAAAACATGTAAATATAGATAGGATCGTAATATTAAACAGATTTTAGAAATAGGCTGTTGTGATGTTGTTTGAATTCCCATGGCTAAGTATATTGATTGGTGGCAGGGTCTTGTAGAGATGATAATGAACCTTCCTGTTAATAAAAGGTCTGGAATTGCTTGGCTAGCTTTGCAGCTGTTGCTTCTGAAGATCTCTACTCTCTGGAGTTGGATATTTCTCTGTTGTATGCTGAATAGATTTGTATGGTTAAGGATGTAACTTACTTTTACTGCATTTATCAGAGTTACCCAAACATTCAAGTTCCTACATTCCTGCCAGTAGAACTGTCTGTGTTAATGGGAGATGTTAACTGTAGCCGCTGCCAAATTTGACATTGTTATGAGACAAGTTTCTTCCTGTCTATGTTCCTGCCATTTTATGATTCTTCAAAGTTACACTTGGAATTTCTGACTGTGGTGAAGTTCCTGCTAGTGCTGTTGTATAATTGCCATACACAATAATTATATGTTCACAAGAGCTATCACGTAACTCATTCACGAAATTCAAAATTTGTTATTACTCCTTTAGTTCCTCTACCTTTAATTTTAATTAAAAAATTTTAATGTCAGTCATTTTAGTCATATAATAATTCCAAATGTATTGTTTTAGACAAATAACTGAACTGTTTTTTAGTGTTTACTGACAGAAATAAATTAGAGAGATCTATATGAAATTGGATCAATACAAAATCTGCATAATTTGATATCACATAACTGAGGGGATACCAGTGCTATATTATTGCTTTATTTAAATGCAAATGTAACAACCCTGTTGATTTGATGACTGTTCAGCATGCCCATAAGTAAGTAAAAGGAAAGTAAAAGTAATAAAATATGTTTAAAACATTTAAAACATTAAAGTTGTGTTGTTGCTGTTGTGAACTGCTGTGTCTAGATGTTATTAGTTCTAGTGCCTTAATTTTACTTCATAAGTGAGCCTGAATGAAAATGATATTTACATTTTAATCTTTATTTTAATACTTGAATACATATTATATTTTATGGAAAATGTACTTGTAAAAGTAAAACATTTGGATATTATGGTTGTTGTTATTATTGACCAAATTCTTCACTCCCTAAATCAGCATACACATAGCCAACACACAAGTTCTTCATTACTATAGTATAAACCAGGACGATGGATAAAGTCCAAAAACCCAACATATCAAAGTTCTTCATTCTTTGACCGCTTGCTAAATATGTCACAGTCTATATTCCTGCCATAGGATGTGTTCATCTTTTCGACTATCTACTCCAGTTATATATTTTCCAAACAGCACAGCTGAGAAGTAAACTTAGGCATTATGAGTTGACCCCACTTGATGGAAGGAGCAGCCAATTTTTTCACCTGAGTACATTTGCAAAAAGAATAAAAAAAACACTTGATGTTGACTGTCAAAGATGTAAGACTTGCACTCCTGTAGATTAGCTGAAAATAGGAATGCTGTATGACACAAAATTATGAACATTTATCGTATGTTGGTGTGATATTTGGTCTGTTGACAGGAGGAAAATGACATATTTCCTTTTTTATTCAAGCTACAAGTCAGACATGTACAAAATTCTACTTCTTGTATGTTTAAACTTAAGTGTAGTAGAACGAATGAATTTTAATAGGATCTGAATGAAAAAATATCTTAATCTAAAGTAACACTGTCAGAAATTGAAACTGGTGGCTTTGGCATTGTCACAATGATTATACTTTTGAACAGCCTTCATATCTCATTTTTGTTTAGTGCCAAATCAGCTGAAATACAATTTGTCCTATATACAGGAATCTCTGGGTCATGCCATACTTCTAGTGCTTAGATGCTGGTATAATCCTGGGTGACTTCATGTGAGATTCAGGGTGAAAAATGTGGCACTGGGGCAGGTGTTGCTCCAAATTTATTCAATTTTCCCTGCCAATCATTACACTATTGCCCTACACTCATCTGTCACTGTCCCCTGAAGTGTAAAGTAGCACTGTCTAGGCAGCATATTATCGCATCCTCAGTCTTAAAGTAGTGTTCTCGTCTCAGTGACATGGCACTAGATGGGCCACAAAGTTGGGAAGTTAAACTCAGTGATCTCCAGAATTCATTTATGTCCTTATTCGAGGTTGTCTTATAAAATACTTTCTATGTTTGTTCTGTCTTTGAACCTATGTTAAACAAAGAATATTAGAATTTTTATTTGTCACTATTGTGCAGCAAGAGAGGGTAAGTTGTGAAGCCAGAGAGATGGGTACATTGAGCTCCAAATTGCAATTATTCCTTAAACTCACCCTTTTGCAAGATTAAAGATAAACATTAAATTACAGTTTGTTGCGGTTGAAGTTTATACCACTTCATAATACGAAATATAGAGGAGCCAAGCCAGACACACAATCTGTCACTGACAAGCTGGTACTGCCCTTGCCATGCTGAAAGTTTCTTGGCAAGGAAGTTGTACTTGCAATCTACTGCCCTCACCTTCAAAATTCTCTTCAATCCAGCACCATGTCTCAAATCAGTCACTTGAAGAAAGTATGACATGAGCTCTGGCACATGCATGCACACAAACACACAAAAAACCCACATGTGTGCACACAACCCACACTCTCTCTCTCTGCCAGCTGTTGTGTGCATGCTTGGTAATTAAAATGTTACTTATGTAACAGGAAATACCTCAGGTGACTATGTCATTTTTAGAAAATGTATTTTGTTATTTATATGTCATCCAATAATTTTTGTTTAATTAAAGTCATTTATGGCATATTTTTGGAACAAAATTAAACTTTATAACAGCTGGTGAGGCTGCGCCATAGCTCAAGCAGTTAGTTGCTGGCTTCCCACCACGGTGACCCGGGTTTGGTCCCGGGCCTGGTCAAGTTGGATTTGTGGTGGACAAAATGGCGCTGGGGCAGGTTTTCTCCATGTACTTCGGTTTCCCCTGCCAATCTTCATTCCACCAATCACCCTCACCTATCATCTGGGGCTGGTACAATAGGCCAGAAGTGGCCACAGTACAAGGGACTTAGTCCCACACCACTAGCAATAAAAAAAATCTTATCTGACTGTGGCCATTCATTGTGAAGTACAATATATGCTGAATTTTTTGGGTTCGCTTGTTGCTTATATATATATATATATATATGTAACATCTTGCATGAGCAAGCAGTTGGCCTGCTGTGCATGAAGTGGCCAATTCAAACTGCTGTGTCTATGTAGATGCAAGGTGTACTTCAGATGTCTCTTTATTAGCTGAGATGTGAAAGGGTAACAGTGAAGGATGAGTTAGGATATGGAAGGTAACAATTTAACCTGTGAAGAATTCTAGCTCCAGAGACAGGAACTAGCTGTACTGATTGGGTCCAACTGAGTAGGCTCTTTACCTGAGGATGAAGATAGAATTCAGGCTTCAAGATATTTTTTTTTTAAATAGGATGATGGTTTATGTCGGAATAGTCGATCATTGTACACAAAAGAAGAATTTGTGTGATTCTTTTATCACAGTCATAGTTGCGTAAAGCTTAGTAAATGAGTTGTTTCACAAGCTGCTATATTGCAGTATAAACTGACAGTTAAAAACAATGTTTCTGTTTTTACATTACAGCCTACATCAAGCAAGCATTCTGTGAGCCCTGATAGTAAGACTTGCCCTTATCATATGCATTTTTTGGTGTAAACAGTGTTGCTTACTTTTGGTCCATACGGATGCAGAAACATCATTCATCATATTTTACTGCTGCAAGAATAAGTCATTCGAATGTATTTTTGTGTGTTTGCACTTGTACATAAATTAATCTAACTAGTTCTTCCAAATACCCATCTAAAGAGTATATCGTTAAAATCAAGTGTGAATACAAAGTATCATAGTGATATTTTAAATGGTGAACCATAAAAAAATGTTTGTGTTAATTAACTTCAAGGTAATATTGTTTCACTTTTATTTCTCTGTCTGTTAAAGCTGTATTTGCTTGTACATTTGTTATAGTCTTGTGTCTTCATGACCTATAGATTTTTCTCCTTGAATTATTACTTCATCATAGGGTACAACCCACTTTTCATGTTCCTCTTTGCTGATGAATTTAACAACCGCAGGAGCCTTAGAAGTTGAAGGTGTGGAACCATTAGCTTTCTCTTCTTTCACTTCCTGTAGCTGAACATTGCTTGCTTCCATAGCAGTGCACTCCTCATCTGTGGCTAGATGGCGACCATCATTATGACTTCTCAGCTGAGAAGGAATGAGCATGTGAGTCTGATGAAGCAACTGCTTTTCATCATAGTGAAAGTTGATATTAGTCATGGTATTTCTGTTACACAGTGCACATCAGCACACACACTGTACAACTCCTAAGCAAAGATCAGAACTGCAGTATCCCCAGAAGCCCTTAATTGTTGACATCTTCTTGTAATGATTCATATTCATGAACAACAGAGACCCATAATTACGAATACTGTCATATTTTATATCTATTGATTTTTGGAATAGTACGTTTTTTGCCTCCTTCCTTTGAAAGTGTAGTGTATTGTTGCAGTCTTAAGTTCATGTGTTATACGTTCTTGGTACTCTAATTTATATAAAAATTATTTCAACTTTTCTTTAAACTGTATTTGCAGTCAAGAAGTTCCACATATCTGGTCACCAAGAAGGGGGAAGGAAACAGGCATCATGCCTTTCCTTCCCAAATCTTAGGAAAAAATCAAAATTAAAAGGAAAATGCCTGCTAAATATTGATACCAAATTGTTTAAAATACAATACCCTTATGTGATCAGTACAATTACTCATAAAGGGCTTAAACATGAGTTTGTGAGAACAAATTTTCTAGCTGTTACCCCTCCAAAACTGATTGCCCTACCCTCCTGGCAAAGATCAAATTGGCTCTGATGGCCTGATATACATGTAACTGTACCACCTCCAAGCCCTTATAATCCTGAAGTACTATATAGTGTTCTCCTTTTGTTCTTTCTTCAGAAACATCAGTACAACTTCCAATGCTTCTGCTCGAATGTTACACAGACTATGCTGAGTCACTACTAACCAAAAATATGAAATTTTGAGGTTGGGAATGACAGTTTCACAGAAACTGCATACTTCAAATTTGTAAAATTGAGATTGATTTGTTTCATTCTGGTCCATCACACTAACAATTACAAAAATAAATCACTCCGTCCAATGTGACCTGTAAGTTTTTTAAACTTTATGTTTTAATTGTAAAATTGGTTCCAAAACTATATTTAAAATTTAAATTAATATAACTCACCTGGTAAGATAACCCAGCTGTAGGTTGCAAAAATTCCTGACGTTGCCGATGCTTTATGGTGAATATGAGAGCAGCAATAATAGACATGGATATTGCTATTACCACAATCACTGCTACTGTAACTTTTATTCTGTTCCAACTCATCTCCTGTATCCTACAGTGACTTTGTTGTGCTGTTGGAATCCCAATGAAAATGTCTATGATTTCTATATGCAGCTGTAAAAATAATAGGGTAAAGTAAGTATGATAAAGTTAAAGTTGTCCCTGTGCTTAATTAACTAAGTGCCACGCCATTATGATGTATGGGGGAATGGAGGTGTAGCTCTACAGAGCTCAGTGATCAGTTTCACACACTGGTCCCTTAACCTCCCCCCCCCCAGGGGAAAGAACCACTGGTATTCATTGAATAGGAGGTTGGATGGGCCCAAGGACCAGATTAGATACTGTGGAGAAGAGAAGAATCTTTTGTTTCTGCAAGGAATTGAACCCTGGTCATCCACATCTCAGCCCATTGCTATAGCAACTGAGATATCCCAGCTCCTGCATAAATGTTAATCAGGGCAATAATTGACAGCTGTTATAGGGATCAAGTCAAGTTTAATTTCAAAGCGATTGGTCATACTGAGGTCACTTAGGTATATATGGAAAATATGCAACTTTATATAGGTAGTTTTATCTGCAGAATGTAAAAAGACAGGCATCCATTTGAAAATATCTTTTCCTGTGGATCTGATTTTGATAATGAACTATTGGAACTAAGAATTAAACTTAGTATGAAGATATATTGTGATACTCATTTCTGTTAGAGGCTGAGTCAACCCCAGGGCCATAGTGTGGCTGGAAGGATTAGGTCAATTGAAAAAATCCAATGACCTCATTTGGATTCGATCCTGTGACCTTCCGGCTTGTAGCATAGTGCCTAAACCAACTATTCCAACTATGTGTATATTAGCATCATCCAAGATGTTATATGCCCTGCTTGTCAAGGTTGAGGGAACGCTGAGTTTCTGATCTGAATGGTGGTGTGAGGTTGGGTTGTGGTATTGGTTCATGTGTGGTGCCTTCCTATAGACTTTGTGTCCTAAGAATCCATTGCCACTCCTGTAATTATCTGTCCAGGGAGAGCAGTTGACCTTCCTGCTTTGTCATAAACTGCATGTTAAGATGGATGCTGTTTATATGGCGGAGAAAGTTGTTCAGCACATGTGAACCCTGTGACCATATGACAGATGTATTATCCACATATCTGAACCAACATCCAAGCTCGAAGATGGCTATTTCTACAGCCTGACCCTCTGAATGCTCCTAGTTTGCTCAATTTTATGGTGATGTTAATCTTGAAAAATAAATGACACAGGACATATGCTCTAAAATGTTTTCTTGATTTAAGAAGGAAACCTTATGGAGACCTTGTTCGCAGATTTCATTCCATTCTGTGCATAAGTATCAAACTCACACCTGAAAGAGCCTTAAGACCACAAGGGTCTCAACGAACAGCTGTGTAGGACTTAAAATGATGCCAAAACAATTGGGCATAAGAGTTCTATCTTCTGGGATACAACACCATGTAGTTCATTGAAAGTCAACTGAAGTTTCTGGGGAACACGTAACCTCCATCTTCAGGGATGAAGAATAAGTCATGCAAGAAACCACTGTGAAGCAGGTAGCATGGCTTATTATTATGGAGGCGACATGTTCCTCCAAAACTTCAGTTGACTTTCAACAGACTACACAGCGTTATATCCAAGAAGATGGAACTCCTCATAACCACCCCTGTGATAGCCTCAAATGAGGCCTAAGGTGCAGTTTAGTGGCTACAGTATTTGCAGTAGAGAAACAGGCTTTGTGAGTTCAGCTTAGAACTTAAGATAATAGTCTAAATTTATATTTGGAACATGCTGGGTTCAAATTTTGGCCAGGACACCAGCTATCCTGAGGTTTTTATGGTTTTCTTCAGTCATTCTAGGCAAGAGCTAGGACAGTATTTCGATCAGACAATGACCACTTTCATGTCTACTTTAAGAAAAATACATTTTCTAATCTACAAGTAACACATGAGGGGCACACAGTAGCGTAGTTGGTTGAAGCACTATGCTACAAGCCATGAGGTCGCGGGTACAAGTTCTGATGAGGTCATTGGATTTTTTTCAATTGAGCTAATCCTTCCAGCCACACTATGGCCCTGGCATTTACTCACACTCTAACAGAAATGAGTACCAAGAATTAATTAAATAATTTTCCTGGGGAATAAAGCGCGGCCGGTGTGTAAGGCTGACAACCTTACCACCATCTTTGAGCTGATTGTCTAGATAATGTGGGACCCTCAACATCTCACAACCCTATGGGCCTTCACGGCCTGTTACAGGGATAGCTTTACTTTACTTTTACTAGTAACACATGAATAACATTCTTACCATTTGTTTCAAATTGAGAATCATTTCCTCTAAGCATTTTTGAAGGTATTTCCCTGATATAAACATACTTCCTGCCATTGCATGACCTTTTACTAGTATGCAGATGGTAAAGTTTCCTCCATCAGCATAAGGTCCTGGTATCATATAACAGATGTCTTCTGGTGAAAGTGTTTTGTTCCACTTTTCCTGCAATTTACATCATAATGCTCATCAGTAAATTTTATCCATAATGAATAATTTTCAGTTTTTAATTCTATATAAGATTCTAAGTAGTTGCAGCCATGCTTTATCCACCATGTTTGTCAGTTTGTTTGGTAATGACCTGCATTAGATTTGAGAAGTTAGTATTTTGGTCTGTGCTGAAAGAATTGTAGGCAGTACACTCCCGTACCTCTAGTTAAACTTTGGTTGTTAAATCATTTCATAAATGAAGTATGTATAAGGCAGTTTCGCTCAGTGCAGTGGTGGGAGAAATCTCAAAATATAAGATAGATTTAGTGGGAGTACAGGTCAGATGGGGCAGAGGTGGAGGAATGCGTATAGGATATTGATGGGAAAGCCAGAAGGAAAGAGACCACTAAGGAAACCAAGATGTAGGTGGGTGGACAGTATTAAAATGGATCTCAGAGAGATAAGATGTGATGGTATAAATGGGATTGGTCTGGCTCAGGATAGGGACCAGTAGAGGACTCTTGTGAACACCGTAATGAACTTTCAGGCTCCATAAAATGCTGGGCAATTCTTGAGTAGCTGTGCAATTGACATCTTCTCAAGAAGGGCTCAGCTCCATGAGTGAGTGAGTGAGTGATGCTTGTTTTGTTAACATTTTGCAGGCTGTTACTTTCCTTATAACCCTCATACATACCTGAACCTCCATACATCCTGTAAGTGCTTTTGAAGTGTATTTTCTGAAAACCATATCCCAGGATAGGAACCACTCAGCAACCTCCATATCACTTTTGAAGACAATGGTTAATGGGTCTTCTTTCTTTTCTGTTTCTGTTAGTTTCTCAGATTTTACAAACAATTGCTGGAAAACAAATAAATCAGCTATAGGAGGTATTGGGAAATTTACTCATTTGTTGGAAATATGTTGTATGAACTCTATTCCATTTTATGAGAAATATTTTAAAATACTATGTGATTCCTTTACAAGTAACAAATAAAATTAACCAACAGCTAAAAAGAAATGGCTAAAAGTCTTTGTCTTGACTTTTACCCCTCCAGTTACTTTCTATCCTTCCACCTGTATGATATTTCAAAATATATTTTCAATAAATCTGACATAATTTCCCAGAAATGTGAGAAAAATAGGACTATCCCCATTTTGAGGGGCTGTTTATGTTTTGTTCCTTTATAGAACACATTTAAGGTAGATGTAAAGCCATTTCCCCCCTATGATATTTACATGTGTTTAACACAAATAGAAAATTCATAGAATTTTCAGTAGTAGACACTAGTGGTATACTGTAGCATTATACTTTTAATAAACATTACACATATTTTAACACTAAAAACTGAATAATACGAGGAAAAGTTTTCTATTTGGCTTACATATTGATGTGTTTACCTCATGAATGACATTAAGAGATGTGGTGTTACTATTATCACTCAGATTGTCAAATGACTTCCCTATTTCGTCCTCAGTTCTGTGGGAGGATTCATCTTTTCCGCTGACAATGTCAACTTGAAATTTGTCGCCTTGTTTAGCATCCTTAGTTGGCAGTATGTACTTTATTGATGGCACAGTACTAGCAAATGTAGAACTTGTGCTTGAGGTTACAGATTCTAGTGATAGCAGAGGGCTAGAAGTTGTGTTTGAAGTTACCACTGTTAATGATAGAACGGTACTGGGGAATGAGTTTAAGGTTACAGTTTTTGCTGATTGCATATTTTGGGAAATTGTGTTTGAGGTTTCTGCTGACAGAACACTGTGGGAAATCGCTCCTGACGTTACATTATCTGTTGATTGCACAGTGTTTGGAACTGTGTTTGAGGTTACAGTTTCTAATGATTGAATGGTACTAGAGATCGAATTTGAAGGTTTTGCTGTTGAGGTTACATTTACTACTGCCACAAGATTGGAGAGTGTGTCTGAGATTGCGTTTTCCACTGATGGCATAATGTAAGAAACTGTGCTCGAGGTTAAAGTTTCAACTGATTGCACAGTACTGGAAACTTCTTCTGAGCTCATATTTTCTGCTGATTCCACATTACTAGAAATTGTGTTTGAGGTCACATCATTTACTGATGGCACAGTATTAAAAATTGTTCTTGAGGTTATATTCTCTAATGATGGTGCAGTATTAGAAATAAAGTTTGAGATCACACTTTCTACAGCTTTTGCATTACTGGAGATTTTGTTTGTTGTAACATCTCTTGATTCCACAGTATTGAAAATTGCACTTGACAGTATATTTCCTACTGATGACACAGTAGGTGTAGCATTTGTGTCCCATGTTTCCACAGTTTTCGTTGGTGTGTCAAAACTAGATGATAGTGAATGAGATACAGGTGTAACTAATGACATGGCACTGCAGTTTGCACTGGTAACTGGTGCAAGAATTGTTTGAGGAAAATCTTCTTCAGACACAACATTATGTGATTCAATGATAGTTTCTGATGCAATTTCAGATTCTGTGGAAGTAGTTGTTACTGGAAAGGTATTGGGAGATATTTCTGAATTAATATATGCACCTGCTGATGAATAAAATAGTGGGGTTGTGGGGTTTATGGATGACTCTGAATGAAAAGATGTGTAATTTTCAAATGTATTAGTTTGAATATTTCTTTCAGATACTCTGGATGATATGAAAGAAGAACTGTTTTGAGTAACTGATGGTACTTTATGTACTTCTTCAGGAATTAATGTTACAACTGGTTTTCCTTCTGGTAATTTTCTTGTATGGAGTGCTGAATATTGGTCTGAAACGTTAGAGTGAACTGTGTACGTTATATTGTTGTCTTCCTGACCCACTTGTTTATGATCTTCAGACAAATTTGTATTTACTTCAGGAAATGCAGTTGACAAGTTATTTGTGCTAGGCATTGAATAAGAAACTAATGGGTTTATTGGCATAATGGGAGGATGATTAAAATCATTAATGTTTGAATTATTCATTGCAGGTGTATGCAAACTTTCATTCTCATGATTTGATGTAGACAAAAGGTATGGTGAAAATGTCACTGAATCATGTGACTTTGCAAAGAGAGTAGTAATTTCTAAAGACTGTGAGGATAAATTATATGCAGTTGTTCTCACAGAGCTTAAATTATTGCCACTTCTCTGTACATCACTTCTTGAAATATTATGCAAGTACTGTGTGTTTAAATTTGTTGTTATATTTTCAGAACTTATATTTTTCATAATAGGCTCTACTATTGTGTTAATCAGAGTGTTGTACAGGGGTTGAAATGTTGAGTTTCCAGTCATATTATAGGAATATTGTTGCAATGATGAAGTGACTTCTGTTAATATCTGTGTATCATTCCCAGATATATTTTGATTTAAGTGTAGATCTTCCCTCTCTGACTGTACATTAGTGTTTTCAGAGGACACAGCATCTGCCTTTCTAGGCTGTACATAATTTTCATCCAAGGATATAGTGATTCTTCTCTCGGTCTGTATGAGACTGCCTGCAGAGCTTTCTTCCACAGATTGCATAGTTGTGCCTTTCCCATGCTGAGTACTACTGTCATTCAAAGATATTTCACCATTAACCACTGAACTATCAATCGTAGGCCTGGTCGAATGTCTGTGACTGTGGACATTTGATCCAAGCACTGATTCATTAGATCTGTTAATTTGTTCCAGCATTTCTTTGGAATGTCCACTGCGCCTTGTTCTCACTCTTTTGGAATATGTGAGATCATGTACTTCATGACAGGTTGCAACATCCATAAATGCTGAAAAAAGATACAAATTTATTTGTCATTTTAGTGGTGAAGAAACTGATCTCTATGAAAGTGATTTGTCTGGGTTATTTAATGCATGACTATAGCCAATGTTTTAATTTGAGGAAAACTGAGAAATCAGTGAAGAAGGCACAGATCGAGAAATCCGTTACAGTCTAAAATCGATTTTTTCCTTAATCATTAATTATTTTCCTTTAAATCGTGTTATAGAAAAATTGAGGTATTTGTGAAAATTTGGCAGCTATAATCCACATACATACACTTATCCCTCCCCAAACTTTCCTTCCTGCCTAGTGATAATAATTCAAAGAGAAATAATATTTAGACAAACATAATATATGCTGCAATAACAACAGCAACAGTGATTATGATGATATGTTATATCAAAAGCGGAGACAGATATGGCTGGACATGGCAGAATAGCAGATGGTATAAATAAATCACATGGTATTCAATTAAAAGAGTTGCCAAACAATGTTTTACATACTCTGAAGGGAATAATAGAATTCCTTTAGTAGAATGACTTGTGGAAGAAGACATAGCCGTCCTTTTGATGTTCACAAGATGAACCCAAAGATAAAAAATGAAAATATTCTGAACAAATTTAGACAATGCAAGTTCCTTGAGTAACAGGTTTTACTGATAGACATTAAAGGGTGGCGACAGTATTTCTACATGAAAACTCACTGGGAAGCATGAACTGTTGGCATATAATACGTCTTATTATGAATACAAATCAGAACCATTCCTAAAAATGTAAGCTGTTATTTTGTACTTGGGCTGAGGTGTATTAATGAATATCTCAACAACATGCAGTACGAGGTGGTATCGGAAAGTTCCCGGACTGTTTTTGCGGCAACTGCCTCGGAGAAAGAAGATGAGGTGGGTGGTGGTGGTGACGACAGTGATTAACCCAAGCCGTGGGACCAATCGAATTGGTTCAGGCAGTGAAGCTTCTTGCTTGTGTTCAGGAGGTTCCTTATTCAAATCTCGGCCGAGGCACTGAAGCTTTCGTGGGTTCCTTTATTCCTTCCAGGCAAATGCCAGTATTGTACCTTGAAACGGTCCACGACCTCTTCCTTCCATTTGGTTTCCATTCATTTTTAATTATTATTACCTAGTTTTTCGACGTTGTATGGTCTGATTTGTTGAAGATTCCTTAAATAAACCGTAAATAAATAAACAAATAAATGAAACTCAACCGGAAGCCGGAAAATACAGCCCGCTAGAAGCGACTCTGGACAGAAATCAAGTCCTGCTGTTAATACAGGAATCTCTACAGATCTTCCTTCCTGGATCATAGTACAAGACAGAGGCAGTAGATACCGCGTGTCTACCCAAATGCAGGTTTTGTGTTCTCTGGTATTATTACCGTGTGCCGTACTTAACAAAGAACGTGACAAAATCCTTGGGAATACACTCGTTCTTTGGTCCGTACATTTTAATGTTTGAGGCCATTAATCCCGGTTTCAAATACATTGTTCAAGTTGAGTAACAATGCTACTGTGGTACCCACATAAAGCATCAGTCCGTATGAGCAACATGTAGTTCTTTATAGCTTACTAACAATTAGAAAGTAATTTTATTGTGAAGCCGGCGAGATGGGGAAGAGGTACATTGAGATGAAGGAAAGGAGTAGGGGAAAGAGGAGGGAAAATGAGAAGAAATAAAGAAAGAAAATGGAAGAAGAAAGAAAAAAAGATGAAACTATAAGAAAACAAATTTATTCGTGAATTATTATGTTCTGGGATGAAACGACGTGTAGTCGGGTAGGAGTTCTTTTCGGAGGAATATACTGCTACCATCTTCAGGGTAGATATACATATAAGGTAAGCAAGAAAGGAGTAAAAAGCACGGCAGAGCTCTGATTACCACTTGCTTCTTGTTGGTGTCCTGCTTCGATTAATATTCTATCCTGAAAATGAAGGCAGTAGGTCCTCTGAAAAAGACTTCTACCAGACTACACGGCGTTACATCTCACCGCTATGAGAACTCACATCCGCCAAGTTATTGCCATCTCCGCATCTGCGCTGTTCACAAAATCTTCTCCCCTCAAAACGTACCGTGTTCCTGACATGCATTGCTCGAGTTAATAACAAATTGTGCACAATTTACATTTTTATTCTTGAACCCGGGATACCTCAGTCAGAAAAGGAACTAGGTCATGGGCTCGACGACCGAGTAATCGGAGTTTGATTCCTGGCAACTGCAAGATATTTTTTTCTCTTTATAGCATCCAAACAGGCGTTAGGGCCCACCCAGTGTCATATACGGTGGATTACCAGTGACCACTTCCTTGGGGGTAAAGGGGCAGTGGCGTGAACCTGACCACTCGACGGGCACTGGACAGTACGAATGTGCCCATGGGTGCAAGTTGAAGTCTATGGGGCGAGGCGGCTTTGCCCGCTTTTAAAGCGGCTGTCCTCTAGAGACTCGCCTCTAGGGACTGGGGAAAATCACGAAAATCGTCAGGATAGCGGGTCTCGAGCCCTGTGTTTCCACAATAAGACGCTGGAGTGTGAAGTGCGGCACAGCGACGCTTGACATATCGATGCAATTTCCGGTTCCCAGACGCGAAAGTCAAATGCACCGAAATTTAAAGGGGCTATTGCGTCTGTTCTGAACACGCTCTCAGAACTGATCCAGCTGCAAATGACAAGTGGACCCATCTGATATCAGTTTACAATGTAAACAACGGAATATTACCCAACATCCGAACGAACTGTTCTAGTGAAACTGATTCTGAGAACTATAAATAATTAAGAACCCATTAGAGTTTTCTTAATGACTTGAAATTAGTTGAATACATACAGCGTTAAAATATACATGTAATGTTGATAATATAACATTAGATACAAAATCTTAAGTTTTTACAACTGCAGCGTCTGTTTTAATATATTAACATTTTTGTAATTGGTTTGTTAAGATTTTGTTAAAGTAAGTAAAGTAAAGCTATCCCTGTACCAGGCTGTGAAGGCCCATAGGGTTCTGAGACGTTGAGGATCCCACATTATCTAGACAATCGGCTCAAAGATGGCGGTGAGGTAGTCAGCCTTACGCACCGACCGCCCTTTGCTCCCCAGGATAATTATTTAATTAATTCCTGGTACTCATTTCTGTTAGAGGCTGAATCAACCCCAGGGCCAAAGTGAGGCTGGAAGGATTAGGTCAATTGAAAAAAATCCAATGACCTCATCGGAACTTGAACCCGCGACCTTCCGGCTTGTAGCATAGTGCCTCAGCCAACTACGAGTCAAGAGTTTGTTAGAATTTATAAAGCAAGTGGGTTCGTGCCCTCTTTCTTATTGCTTCTTTTGACGGGGGCCGAACGTGTGCCGCCTTGTTCTTGAGAAGAGGGTTCTTTGATGTCGTCCTGTGGCGGACCAGAATGAAACAAATCAAATTCAATGAATACCGTTTGACCAAGCGCACAGTGCAGTGGGCTCCTTTAAAAGATATGTTGCCTGAAACACGTAGCATGAACACCAAATGTAGAGTTATTTTAATAAATTTAATGACATTTTAAACATTTAACGAACATTTAGTGAATTAAGTGTTAATTATTGTTGCATTATAAACGGAAATTAAGACTAAGTTATATGAATGCAAATTATAAACTGAAGCCTTCCAATCTGGACACGCCTGAAGTAAAAACGAACGTAGTTGGAGGCGTGACGTGGGGTTACATGATGCTGCAACACTATCGCGTTGTCCAGACGCGACTGCGATAAACTTCGCTTTGCTCGTGGGCATTTTCCTATCATGACTAAGTACAGTGATCAGTGGTTTCAGTAATCTGAACTACGAATGAGTGAACATGACAAATCATGCACTTTGATGGTTTCCGGTTCAAGCGTGGATATTACTGCCTCGTTTCCGGTCCGGTTCCTCTTGACCGTGAGCAATCCTCTCAAATCATTCGATGCTAATTGACGTCTTACGTAGATACGGAGTCGATAAGTGACGTATGAGCTAATATACACCACTGACTCGGAGATGAGTCCTTCTTGAGGTGCCTCTAAACTCTCGATTGAGGAATTCCTGTATTTCACGGAATTTCACAGTTTGAGCCGGAAGAATCCAGCATACACTTCTCATATCCAGTTTCTTTAACATCAATATTAATGTTATCCTCCGTCTGTGCCTATGTCTTCCTTTAGATATTCCGATTAAAATTTTGTATGCATTTCTCCTCACTCCCCTTCGTGCTGCAGGCTACGCCTGTGGCATTCTCCCACGCACGTCACTTTGCACATATTTTGTTCTGACGTTGCCTTGAAAGCAAATCGATTGTTGTTCTGCAGGCCATTGTTGGTATGCGTTGCGTAATCATTTGGGCTCCTCGTGCGCGTACATTTATTTTTCTGAAGAGACTAGCTACGCAGTTTAATTTACGTTGGATGGTCTCCAAAAATTACTGAAATTTAATCGGGCTCCTTTAACCCATTTTCAAGAAAATTGTAATTTGGTATTTTGGGGCCCATAAGAAGGAATTTTATTTTGGGGACTGAAACGTTTATATTTTCCGGACAGCGACCTATGGTGGATGAACTCATGAACACTCAATCTGCATAATATCCGGCGAAATGTTGACGAGCTGGGGGGGGGGACATACGTGCATGCATACAGGCAGACAACGGCATTAAACCCATTTTTTCTTGTATTCGAGGGGATGAAAGTGTGTAAATATGCCGGAATCTCTAGATCAATTTGTTTCGCTACCACACTTAATTGCTCTGTGGTCTAGTGGTCAGCGTTCCTAGCTACAGATCCAGAGTTCCGAGTTCGATTCCCGGCGGCACTGGGGCAGGTTTTCTCCTAGTACTGCGGTTTCCCCTATCGATTCTTACCCCACCAACTGCTCCACATTCATCATCATCTATCATCCGGGGTTGCTACAGGAGGCCAGTGATTGGCCGACGTACCAAGTGGACTCAGTCTCACCTCACCCCAAGAAAAAAATGAACCAGGTGCCTGGGGGCATAGCCGGGCCGCCCTTTCACTGGTGGACATAAACACAGAGACCTGGCTTGCCAGATTTTGGATTGGCCGCAAGGCTGATAACCTTGCTCCGTGAAAAGTCTACTGTTGCGAAACCCGGTTGATCTAACTGAGTCAGTAACCCTGACAGAATCTTATAAGGAAGGCTGTGGCTCAAAAAGAGCTATTTTGCCAGTGATGATAGTGGAAACAGGGCTTGGGCTTGTCGTTATGAGAAGGGAACTTTGTGAAGAAACAGTACGGCAGACCAGAATAACGAGAATTCCGAGAAGCAGTGTTATAGGCCTACTATAAAATTATCAAATGTTAACCCTTTACAACCCAGTGATTACTATAGGGCTATGTACCACGTACCTTGACACTTAAATGTCTGCGTGTTGTTCATAGATTTCCCTTGTTTCTTGTGATTTTCAGAATAAACAGCAATTTCCTGAACAGCTTTAAGCAATTGGCTTTATAATGATTATGCAGTGGTGGAAACTAAGATTTTGTATATCATGTACATGAATTTCAGGCTTCAAAGGGTTACAAGTAAGGGAGGGGCGTGCTGAACCGCTAATAGAACTAAAAATGGTGGCTGTCCCTTCTCCGCAGGCTGTGGAGCGTCTGTTGCAGGTGGGAGAGGTGCAGAGGGAAGGACGGTTTCCTACTTCAGAATTGCGAAATATCCTCCAGAATCAAAAGTTTGCAATTCTACATTCGCGAATTGGAAAGCACGAAATTTAATTTGTCCAGCAACAGAAATGTGTTCTACTGACAGCTGATACAAAACTCACCCGCCACAGCCAGCGCGAGGCAGAGGATCTCCATGTCAGCAGCCCACACTGTGTGCTGTAGAGCTACTCGCACTGCCACGCTGCAAATGGCGCTTGTCTGACGTGAGCTTACATGATATACTGACGCTGATTATGTTGGCCATGGCTTTGTGTAACGTGTGATGTTACAAGATCGTAGGCTTACAAATCCAAATATTATTAACTGGAAAATATATTATTATATGTTTACAAGTAAAGCTGATTGCTGTTATTCATTTCATTTTAAGGAGACAGGGTGTGAGGGTGTGGAGTGGTTTCTTTTGGCTCAGAATATGGTCCATTGACGAACTGTTGTGAACAGGGTAGTATGCTTACGTCAGGATTTCATAAAGGCGAGCGACTGCGTCTTCCGGCGGGAAGTATTGCAAACAGTGCCCAACCTTGTTATCTGGAGGGTGAGCCGCAGTGGATTGTGTCAGGGAGTCAGTAACGAATTCCCTGACTACTGTTCCTCCCCGCCCTATCCTGAAGACGTGTGGGTGGGAATGACCTTGACCTCGGCACTAGGTAGTGGTGAGTGGTTAGCTTCTACCCCGGTACCCGTTTGGACCCTCAAAGCCGGTCCGGACGCCATGGCGACTCCTGCCTTGCGAGCTGTCGCCATAACAACTGGCCTGCCCCTGTTCAGCACTTCAAGGCAAATATCGGAACATTTTTGTGGCTTACTGTACGGCCCCGTCAGTACCTCCGACAGTGACAGGTTTGCTGAATTTGTGGATGCAGAAAGGGAGCCGACGTGTCCTAACGCGGCTACTGGAGGGGCTCAAAATTGCTGGAGTTTCAACTGATATTTGAACTGCGTATCTGTCGAATAAAAGTATAGAGTGTTACCGCTCCCTGTGAGTGTAATTAATTAGACGGATCTAGATCGTTGCTATGTTGGTTTTATCATCGTGAAGTCTTGTACATGAACACCGACGTTTCGGAGGGGCCTTTCTTTTGCCGTGAAGTTAGTGGGTATCATACTTGCACGGCGTTATAACACAAAAGACATATATAACTGAGTGGGTAGTATCATGTTGTCTCCGGCATTCATGGCGGAACTGTGGAGAAGAAATCCCAGTTCTCGTGGAGTGTTCATTGCCACGTTCGCAGAAATCCTTCATTAGCGTTGTAATGATATCCGAGACACAGCTTTAAGAATATACCATTAAATAAATAAGTTAAAGAAATTATTCTTTATATCTACACTAGGACTCGTACATGTAAACTGCATGACGACTTCAACGTATCGAATTCAAACAAAAATAGAAAATGACGCCGTATGGTCTTACGCTGCTCACATTGGTTTCATTTCGGCCCGCATGTGGGTCCATCTTCAGGCAGTCTCATCAAATGCGTCCATAGCTATTGAAATGACCTAATGTGGACCCACATTAGTGCTACTCACCAGTCATACAAAAAGCGCAACCGTCAGGAAGATGCAAGAATCTTTCTACTTTAAAACTTTTCCAGAATTTAAAATTTAAAATTAAAATTATCTATCGTTGAATCAAAAATCCTATGCTTTTGTGTTTTTTCCCCGGTAGGTTGTCTTTCGCCCGGGCTTCGCTGTTGTGCTGTATGTTACAGAAGCTATTCGCGATAATGCTATTAGTTTTTAGTTTGTTATCACTTGTCTATGAGGTGGGCAGGTCATGTAGCACGAATGGGGGAGACGAGGAATGCGTATAGGATATTGGTGATAAAGCCAGAAGGAAGGAGACCACTGGGAAGACCAAGGCGTAGGTGGGTGGACAATATCAGAATGGATCTTAGAGAGATAGGATGGGATGGTATGGATCGGATAGATCTGGCTCAGGATAAGGACCAGTGGAGGGCTCTTGTGAACATGGTGATGAACCTTCGGGTTCCATAAAATGCTGGGAAATTCTTGAGTAGCTGCAAAATTGGCGGCTTCTCCAGAAGGGCTCAGCTCCACGATTAAGTAAGTAAGTAATCACTTGTCTCCTTGGGTATGTCGCCGTGATTTTATTCTTTTCTTTCCTTAGGGTGTCCTGCCTATCCTTTGTGTGTCAGCGTTTGTGTCGTGTACATGCGGTGTAAATTCTGTTGCTATAAACTTCTTACATTTGCAGTCCACACTATGGTACATGGTAGTAATTGAACGAACACTGAATTCTAGTGACAAAGCGTTGTGCGAGATATGTTAACTCACCCGCCAAAAGCAGCAGGAAGCGAAGGACATCCATGTGAACACGCCGCTGTGTCCGAACTTCTCCCATCGACCGCTCCCTCAACACTGCTTGAGTGTCTGCCTCCCAGGACCAACTGACATCGCCTCTCTACTTAAGTGTTAGTTCCCTAACTCCAAGGGGCAGCTAATAATCGCTCAAGTAAGAAATTCTCATGTTCACGACAGCCCACTACTGGTTCCAGTCCGGAGTCAGATGAACGGCGTTCACGTGTAGGGGTTGCGGGTGATATTGGAAGCCTGTATTGCAATTGCAGCCAATTATAATAGCTGACACATTGCACTCCTCCTGGGCGACGTCTGCCTGGCGAATATCTCTGCTTGAAATCAGGAAGCCACTGCCTTTCATAACTTCCACGCGACTCACATAGAAGTGACCACATCGAACTCTTAATTGTCCTCTTCATTCAAGTTGTTGCCTCGAGTTAGTCCCTCGGCGCAGGTTTTCTTTAATGTTAATTGTAACTATTTTAGAAGCATTTCTATTTCTTAAAATATAGCGCAAATAACCATCAAACATATCTTGATCCTGTCCTCATTTATTGCCTTACACCATCTTTAAAATGTTGCTGTGGTTTCTCTTTTCTTTTTTAATCCCTGTAAAGTTATTTCCACTTGCATTCCACACTGAAGTCTGGCCAGTCTCCACCCACCTCTTCCCTCCCCGCCCTAGCCATCCTCACGGCCTGCAGACCTGCCGCGTGGTTTATGTCACGTTGGAGTGCCTTTGGGCTCCTTGCCTGCGGTTGGCGGAGCAGACACGTGCTGAAAGGAGGAAACGGAACTTAGCCCCAGTCCGAAATGCAGCTCCTTCCGTCGTGTCCTGGGACAGTACTCGTAACTTTATGCCAGGCGCACAAAATTCTTTCAAATGGGTATCAATATTCTGGCTCCAGGCTACACTGACTGCAAGTGAGAGACTTTATAAAGTGTCCTCACCAAATATTGTAGATTTAATAAGAATGATAATGCCAAGAGGATGAGATGGGCAGGGAATGTGGCATGAATGGGAGAGGAATGCATACAGGATTTTTGTAAGAAAACCTAAAGGAAAGATGCCACTACGAAAACCTATACTTAGATAGGAAGATAGTATTAAAACGAACTTAGAAAACATAGAACGGGGTTTGTGGACTTTATTCGACTCGCTCAGGATAGAGACCTCTTGTGGACATAGCGGTGAACCGTCAGGTACCGTAGAATTATGATATTTTCTTGTGTGGCTAGCAACGGCTGGCGATTCAAGAAGTGCTCAGCTCAATGAAGTTAGTTGAAAGTGCACGTACATTATGGGGCACGCGGTAGAGCTATGCTACAAGCAGGGAGGTCGCTGGTTCGATTGCCGATGAGATCATTGGACTTTTTCAAATTTCTTCGATTCTTCCAACCGCACTATAGTCTTAGGGCCGACTCAGCCTCTAAAAGAACTGAGCTTTTCAGTGTCGAAATTATGTACATCTTTTCTCTGCGCACCCTATATTGCAATGACCAGAACTCCAATAAATTAATAACGTTATGAAATGATTCTTACAAAATGATGATGTTTCCGGTTACATGGAAACGGAAATGCAAACAGGATCTCGGTCAGTTAGAAGTACGTATATAGGTCAGGGGTTCTGGCTGCTCCAGGAGTTACTTACGTACTTAGTTAGTTAGTTATTGGAGAGGGTGGGTTTCCCCATGCACTGAGACCTGTATTGGTCCATTGTGCTTCCCTCTATGATATTCTACCAGTCTCTATACCCTACCGACATTGGTGCGTACCATCAGTCCCGACCGAGCCAGCGAGTTCGGCCTCTACTGGCTTGGCGGTATCTATAATGCTTCCCCCATCTATCAGAGGCGTTAGAGACTACTGTTGGGCGGGAAATGTCCTTACAAATTTGGCTCAATGGTCTCCTTGAGACATGAGGTTCTTTTACGTGCCGTAAAGCTACGACACGGGACCCACGGCTTAAAGTCCCTTCCGGAGGACTTGTTCCCTGAATTTTTCCGCCCTTAAAAATTCCACGACCTCCGCCGGGTTTGAACCCGCTTACCACGAGTCATGAGGTGGGAACGTTACCTCTAGACTACGGAGGCCGCTACCCTCAGTCTATGTTCCTCCCTTAATGTCAGAGACCAAGTTTCACGCCCATACAGAACCACAGGCAAAATTATAGTGTTGTATATTCTAATTTTTTTATGTTTTTGGACAGCAGACGAGAAGACAAAAGGTTCTGAACTGAACGGTAGCAAGCATTACCCGAGTTCAATCGCCTCTTAATTTCCTCCTGAATCAGGTTTTGACCTGTTATCGTTGTTCCCAAATATCTGAACTGCGCCACATTTTCAAAACATCTGTTTCCTATCTTCATGTCATGATTTTGCCCTGCATTTTGGTGACGAGACAGCAACGTATACTTAGTTTTCTCCGCGTTTACTTCTAGACCAACCTTTCTACTTGCGCCAATTAAAGTTTGTGTGTTTTTCTTTATGGTATCTACATTATCACCCGGTAGATTCATATCATCGACATAGGCCAACAGCTGATGTGTCCCATTTAGTTTCAGTCCCACCTGGTTTCCCTGGACCTTCCTAATTGCATATTCTAAAGCAAAGTTGAAAAGCAGTGGCGATAAAGCATCTCCTTGTTTTAGACCATTCTGGATAGGAAATGTATCAGACAAAAGTTTACGTACACGGACTGTACTATACATTTCGTTTAAACACATTTTAATCAATCTAAGTAGTTTCATGGGTATCCCAAAGTCTATCAGATTACTGTACAGTACTTCCCTCCTAACTGAATCATAGGCTTTCTTGAAGTCTATGAATAGCTGATGTACTCTCTGATAGTACTCCCATTTTTCTCCAATATCTGACGAATGCAAAAGGTCTGATGTGTAGTTGATCTGTTCCGCCGAAACCCACACTGATGATCCCCAATAATTTCATCTATATATGAACTTAACCTTGAGAGAAGATTATTGGATAGAATTTTGTATGAAGTCCATAAACGTACTCCCAGTGAACCGCATTAACCGGTTCTTCACAGATTCAGTTGAAATTGCGTATTGTGTATTGAAATATTCAATTTTGTCAAAATAGGAACTTTCTCTTCCGATTTTCTCATTGAAAACTTAGGAGGTCGCTTAATATTCGGCGAGTAATGTAAGTTACTTGGTAAATTGTCAATACAACGCGGGCAACATGAGTCCTGTGCACTTGTGTCCGAATAGTACGGCTTGCGATGAACCTCCCGCTTACGGAGAGAGGGTGGGTGTTAAGGCCACTGGGCCGGAAAGTGCAGCATGGCAAAAGCTGCGATACGGTGCCGTACAGCAGACACATCGTGCACGATATGTGGCTTCTAGGGGAAACTGTATTACCATTGGATCCCAACTAGCCGCTAGTCAGAATAAAGGAGTGACAAAAATCTCTAATTTCTAAGACAGTAAGAGGTCTGATATTGGCAACGGCTGAGACTGAGGCGAATAAGTCGAATTGACATGCTGCACTATCTTCTGTGAACTTATGCTTGGTACCTTGCTTTTTAAATTTAATTTAAATAATTCACTGTCGTGAAACTAATCTTAGCGCAGATGTCATACTGCAAAGAGTTACATTTTCTCGCTGGTGGACCTTGCCTCCCTCTGGCGCCAATGTCAGTAAAGCGTGGGGTTTTGACTCTTTTTCCTGTGGCGCTTGCGCAAAGGGATTTTATTTATACGCCTTTATTTTATTAAACATTCAGCATCTGTATTATTACTTTAAATAGAAGTTGCAGATTCTCTGCTTTAGGGTGCTATATTTTATGTCCTGTGCGTTTTATTAAGTAATGAATTGTTGGGAGAAACGTAGTAAAGTTCAATTTATACTGGGAATAAAGTAGAAGAATTATACTTAACTACTTAGAATAAAAACAATTCTACCCATACAAGTTTTGATGTATAGCTCAAATACCAAGCTTTATCGAAATCCGTCACATGTGCACCGAGATAAAAAACGTGGTTGGAATAAGGGACAGTTACAGTAAGGAGACAAAGCACGCCGCTTTCTTTTCATGACCTTCCGAGCTTCGAAGTCAGTACTGTATAACAAACAATTCATCAGTGAGACTGCTCCTTGAACTTCGTGTGCAAATATTGTCATAATAATGCCTTTTCGTCTTCAGATGGCAATAAGTGCATTCTGTTTTCACGATAGAGAAATAACCAGCGTGTCTAAGGCTGTTTCTTTTCATTCCAAAAGTCGTTTTCAGGGCGTCAGTCTATTGGCAGTAAGCGTCTCTGGAATCAGCGCTTAAATAATCAGCATATAACTGGTTCGAGTTATTAAAATATGCCTTTCATTCCATGCTGTATAACCTATGTACTATTTTTTTTATTTCTAGTGGGGTGGGACTAAGTCCCTTGTACTGCCTCCACTTCTGGCCTATTTTACCAGCCCCAGATTGTGGAGCAATTGGTGGAATGAAGATTGGCAAGGGAAACCGAAGTACTCGGAGAAAACCTGCCCTAGCACCACTTTGTCCACCATAAATCCTACGTGACAAGACCCGGGATCGAACCCGGGCCGCCGCGGTGGGAAGCCAGCGACTAACCGCTTGAGCTATGGCGCTGCCCAACCTATGTAGTAAATACAACGTCTCTACATAAAACGTGAAGCAGACGTACCTATCATCTCAGTGGTTAATTGCGTTGGCCACTGTAGATGTCTTTTTGCAACCCCTTAGAGGGCGGGAGGGTGTGGAGAGAATAGAGTTCTGCGCCTGCGCTGAGCTACACGAGCATCAGCAGCCGCTGGGTGGACCAGCAAGCAGTCCCTCTGCCATGTTTACGTGGTGCGTTGTTATCCTGCAGCAAATGCGAGACCAGAGTCGGCCCTGGAATACACAGCTGTTGGTGAGTCAAATGTGCCACATCTGTCTGTAGTAATTAGACTCATCATCCGTATTCGTGAAACGTACGTCACGTGTACGCATCTATGGACATACCACTCCGCCTTTAGTACGCCATTCACGTGGAAATTTAACACTGCATGCTTTGTCTATTTCAACACTAATACGTGGCTTTTGTGACAAAATTTGGTTTCAGTTCGAAACATTCTTCTTACGTTTAATTGGCATAGCAGCATCCACTGTCAGTACATGTCACAGGCGTTACTTGCGAAGTTGAATTATTTTATAGGTTATGTATAAAAGAAACATGGAAGAATTAGGCGGTAACATCCATTGGTCACATGAACCGTAATTCGTTTATTTTTAGTTTTCATACTTCATTTCGGTATCATGTGATTTCTTACATCCAAACAAAAACAGATTGGCGTCGTGTAGTCTGTTAAGCTTCGTAGGGAATACTGGCTTCAGTTTGACGTCATTGCAACCCTTTCACCCCGAAGGAAAAGCAGTACATTGGTTCGAAAAGTCCGTAAATATTACCCACCTGCAAAGTATAATAAATTTCCAGGAAAATAATAATTATGTTATATTTTAGCGTCCTGTTGCACTGATTTAAGTCCATGATTTATTTCACCGTCTTTTAGTGCATACACTTATCTACCTCACTCCTTTCTCCCGCACTACATGTTTCGGCACAAAAGTGCCATCTTCAGGTGCTTATTCGATTAACGTCAAACTTGTTCACTGCATGCCTTGTCTTCATATTAAAATAATTAAAATATATATTTATCATATATACCGACAAATATCAAATATTAAAAATATTAAAATTGTTCAGGATTTTTCCTACGTCGTATCTCACTTCTCGAGTCACCTCTAATCTCTTCTGTCAGAGCACTCTTTCTATTATCGTATGTGGATNATGATAAATATATATTTTAATTATTTTAATATGAAGACAAGGCATGCAGTGAACTAGTTTGACGTTAATCGAATAAGCACCTGAAGATGGCACTTTTATGCCGAAACATGTAGTGCGGGAGAAAGGAGTGAGGTAGATAAGTGTATGCGCTAAAAGACGGTGAAATAAATCATGAAAATAATAATTCTCACGATTACCGCTGAGCGCTGAGACCAACACATCTCTCGTCTTTCAATCTGTTCATCGAACTCATTCACGCAGCTTATAAAGTAATGGATATAAATGTTGGACAATTACAATAATAATATTTTGTGATATTCTGAAAATTTTACCTCAAACCGTGCCTGTTCTTTCAGACAGGAACCTGATCAGCAAGTAAGCTTTGAGTGTTTCACCGCCTCCACTGTTCAGGCTATGTTCTTATTTATTTATTTATTCATTCGTAGTTTGTTTAACGACGCTCCAATATCTCACATTAACTGGCGTGAAATAAATTGATTATCAGTAAGTAATACAATAGAAAGAATTTGGAAAGAAGTGGCCGTGGCCTAATTTAAGGTACAAACCCTTGAATTATCACGAGGAACCCGTCAGAATTGTCAGTGTCCAAGCCAAGATTTGAATCGAACGCCTATCCCAGTCGGTATAGCGACTGGCCCGAGTTCTATTCCCGGCAGAGACAAGATATTGTCCAGATCCACCCAGCTTCCTGTCCAATGGGTATCTGGGGCTCTTTCACCGGGGTGTAGAACGGTCGGGGCGTGAAGCTGACTGTTTATCTTCATATAGTGCCGATGTCAAGAATGACGGAGCTATATTTCCACTGCCCAATAGGTCCTCATGATGTGGTGTTTAATTAATTAAGCACAATGACAAAATTAACTTTTTGCCCTACCTACAGGACATTTTACCACTTAAGCCAGCCTGCTCAGTGACAACGAGTAATCTATTAATGGATGTAAAGGAACTAGCTGCATCCATCTTCAGGGTAAAAATGTGGACGGTGGGGAATCGGGGGGGGAGAGAGATAGCTACGCGTTTCCTTGTGGTGCTGCATTTTGCTGACGCATATGAACATTTGACTACCGGGCCATGCCAACTTCGGTAACTTTTACTGGCCAATTCCAGGATTGTAAATGAGTTAATGGAATCTCACCAAACCGCCGCATATTTGCGCGTCAATAGACATTACGAGGCTCTGGAATAAACCCGTCAAATTAAATCTGCAGCCAGCACTAACAGTAATTTAGTGCGTAAATAAAACCGTAACTCTGCTGTTCATTACTAAAACATAAAAAAAAACTCGTTTTACAGTGAATCAGATGCTTTGCTTTACGTCGATTATTTCAGTAATTATCCAGTGAAAATGTCCCAGCTTCATTCTCTTTGTAATAAAGTAGTTGTTATTCTGTTCTCATGGACTGAGCCCTGTAGATATTTCTGATACGCAATTAATCCTGAGCCAGTCACGGTAGCCGAGCGGTCTAAGGCATGTACTGTCTCCGCTCGCTCGGAAGCCGGGATCGTGGGTTCGAATCCCACTCAGGGCATGGATGTTTGTGTGCGTTCTTCTGTGTTTGTGTACAGGTAGAGGCCTTGCGACGAGCTGATCACCCGCCCAAGGAGTTCTACCGAATGTGTAAGATCTAGAAAAACCGAAGTGAACGGAGAAGTTTATGGAGGTAGGCCTAGGCCCACTGGGGCTCTAGTGCCAAGGAAAAAAATTAATCCTGAACGTACAAATCTTTTTAGACTCTAGTAGGACTCCCTGGGTGGGGAAAGGGTCTGTCGCAATATCCTTGCCAACGAAGGATAAAAATACGAAGAAAAATCCTTTCCCACAAATTCAATGGGCCAAGACTGTAAGTCATTAGATCAGGCAGCCACTTTTATTTTTCAAAGACTTCATATTTGTAAGAAAAATCCATTCGGGAGAAAAAGGTAAACGGCAACAGGTCTACAGATGGGTTCCACATCTCCGGCCCTCTGAAGCTGGTTAGGCGTGTGGTCACATGGACACCTGTGTCATCTTGTCTAAAGCACTGACGTTACCGTATTTCTTAGAATATAAAGAAAGGATTTTATTTTCAAATACTACTTAGGTAAGAGCAATACAAGAAAATTATATTAAATTTTGTCAAAACTTTTTTTTCTTCGTTTTCTCTTTTGTAAAATAGGGGATCTTCTTATAATCAGGCTTGTGCAGTATTAACCCCTGAAAATAAAATTTTACTTCACTGTATTTCATTTTTAAAGTGACTGAAAATTCTTATGATTTGGCATCATTAAATAAGTAAATAAATATATTATAAAAGTAAATTTTAATAGGGCCTATCTTTCACTGCACAGCCCTTGTAGAGCTTGGCCAATTTCCAGTTCCTTAAACTATACACAGTCGGTAAGACTCCTTGGACGGGGGATCGGCCCATCGCAAGGCTGTTACCTACACACAGAACAACAGAAACACAGAATAAACGCACACAGACATCTATATCTCGAGTGGGATTCGAACCCACTATGCCACTGTTCGAGCTGACGAAAACGGTTCATGCTTCAGACGTCGAGGCCACTGATCGGCCTAGTAGGGCCTAGAGAGCTAGGCGCGGCCACTGATCGGCCTAGTAGGGCCTAGAGAGCTAGGCACGGCCACTGATCGGCCTAGTAGGGCCTAGAGAGCTAGGCGCGGCCACTGATCGGCCTAGTAGGGCCTAGAGGGCTAGGCGCGGCCACTGATCGGCCTAGTAGGGCCTAGAGAGCTACGCGCGGCCAATCTAAGCGTTCTGAGAAGCAGCGCGTTGCTTGTGGTGACAGAGACTGGGGGAGTGGACAAACTGGGAAGTGCTTGCAGAAAATGTTTGCATTTCCGCAGGAAGGATCAGCTGTATCTGACACCATCCCTTGAATTCTGTACATGCCTATACAGCCTGACGTGTCATATCTTGAAAAGAAACCAAGTGCAAGTTAAGTTTTTATGTATCTGTGGTAGCTTCACTGCAGTGAAGATTCACGTTATGGCCGTCTAGGTCTACATGGTGAAATCGCGTTACATAATTACCAGCGTTTCAGAGAAATATACTGCCTCCACCTTCAGGGTAGAAAAATGAAGGCATTATGTTCTTCTGAAAAGTTTACGAACCCCTACCAGACTACACGGTGCCGTAATCGAGAAAGTCACAAAATGAATCAATAGGCGGCCACTTATGATCTGTAATTCCCAGCATTTTATGGAACCCGAAGGTTCATTACCGTGTTCACAAGAGCCCTCCACTGGTCCCTACCCTGAGTCAGAGCAATCCAATCCATACCATCCCATCCTATCTCTCTAAGATCCATTCTAATATTGTCCGCTCACCTACGCCTTGGTCTTCCCTATGGTCTCTTTCCCACCAATGTCCTATACACATTCCTCGTCTCCCCCATCCGTGCTACATGACCTGCCCACCTCATTCCCCTTGACTTGATCATTCTAATTATACTTGGAGAAGAGTACAAGTTATGAAGCTCCTCATTATGCAGTTTTCTCCAACCTCCTGTCACTTCGCTACGTGGTCCCAGCACATATGAAGTAAAAGGTAAAACATCTCCGAGACCAATTAAACACCACGAAATATAGGGGAATGGGGAGTAGAGGTAGAGCTCCGGACATTTTTGATCTCAGCACCAGGTGCAAGTGAGTGGCCATCTTCACGCTTCGCCCGTTTTACTCCCATGGAATGAGCACTCAGCCCATCAGCTGGAGGCTGGAGATCTGTATGGACATATAGGAGAAGAGCAAATCTCTTCCTCCGTCCTGGACTAGAACCCCGATTTCCCGTTCGTCGAGCCGGTAGGCTAGTCGCTGTACACGATGTTGCTAGTGTCATCAGAAAACCTACGAGACAGCATTCAATTGCCGGTGGTAGGGAAGGGCATCAGTGCTTCGTCCTTGTCTCCAGCTCTTTCATCCGTGACACCGCTTCGCAGTTCTGTGTTCGCAACGACTGGGCTCGTGAAGCAGCGTCGTCAGGTTCCCAGCAGATATACAGTAAAATTACGGATTGATATCTGCCTGAGGATTTCAGTTGCTATTGACCAGGCCAGCA